AAAGCACTAAAAATCCTAATTTGCAATATTTTGGCTGAATGGTGTTCAAGTGAAATTAGGTTTATTTTTGAATTTTAAGATCAATTCCCACGCTAAATTATCTAATTGTATTACAATAACATATTTTCAAATCATTAAACATCAATTAAATAAAAGCATCAAAAACCTTAAATTTTACTATTTGGGCCGAAACTTTCTCATGAAGTAGGTTAGGGAATTTTGCATTTTTATTGCTTGTTTTCGTGCTCAATTAATATTTTTCAATTTCAATTACATCAATTTCACCTTCTAATCCATTTTTTCAATTTGATCTAACTAAGAACCCTAACCCCAATTCACTAATTTCATGCAATTAAAGTTAAATTAATTAAGCAAAATTCACAATTCACATACAATAACAAATTTTTATGATGTGCATGAGATTAACTTACCTTAAAAGCTTCAAATTAGCCCTTGGTAGGTTAGATTTCCTTGGATAATTTTCTTCCTCTTTTCCTCCTTAAGTTTCAGCCAAGTTCCAATTTTTTTCTCCTTGAAAATTTTGATCTTCCAACTAAAATTTTGGCTTAATTAAGTGTTTTAAGGTGGTTTTAGGTGTTTAGGTGGAATTCATTGAAAATTTCTTGGAAAATTTTGCAAGAGTTTGCCTTGGTTTTTATTATTTTTCCAATATTTTCTTCCTTGCTTTTTAATCGAATTTATAGGTAAAATTGGCTAGAATTTTTGCTTATTTGACTTGCTATCCACCCTTTATTTAGTTTAATCTCCACCATTGATTCATTTTTTAATCCTAGCCCTTCATTCGGTTTAATCTCGGCCATCCATCATTTTTTAAATCCTAACCCTTCATCAAGTAAATCTCTAACCCTTAATTTGGTTATATCATTTAATATGGGTGTGAGGTGGATGGTTCGAGTGAAAAGATTTGGCCCAAAAATGTCAATTTTAATCCCTTAATTTATCATACCTTTTCAATTACACTTCTACTTTTAATCCTTCTAATTTTAATCAATTACATTTGGTCCTTTTATAAGGTCTTTTCTAACATATTTATGCCTCCCTAAATTTATTTTAAAGGTTATTTGAGAACTAAATCTTTTAATTTTATGCAATTAGGTCCATAATCTTATGCAATTAAATCCTTATGCATATAATTAATTCTACACACTTCTGAAGATAATTTCATTTCATAATAAATTCAAACACTTCCTATAGTAATTTATTCATCAATGAAATCATTTTTATACATACAATTAAGCACTCAAAATAATTATTTTGCATAAAAATACACTTATTCATACATAAAATATTCGCTAAGCATAGAAAAATTCACTAAAGTGCATGGAATATTCTTACACCCCTCTAACAATTTTTCTATGCTCATAGAATAATTTTCAAACACAATTTTAATCCTCAAAGCAATTATTTTGTGTAAAAAAAACTATTCACACGAGAAAAGCTTATAAAATATTCATCGAGCACGAGAAAAATTATCCTAATTGCACCGAATATTCTAACACCCCTCTAGCAACTATTCTAGACATACAAGATAATTTGCACATATGTTTAATATATATTAATTCATTTATTAGTAGGTTCGGGATATTATAGCACATATCGGTGATTGAACAAAGAGGAGGACATTTAGATGCTAGTTATAGACTAATTCCGGACCCCATTCTCTTGCTTTTCCCCAACCAATCTGAAACCGTCACCGGTGCAATGGAAACTAGAGTTACTCCGGATAGGAACGACATGCTGATAAAAGAATTTTCTCTATAAGAGATCAAGGTGGTCGTTCATCAAATGTACCTTACCAAAGCTTCTAACCCTAATGGTATACCTACAATACTCTTCATATATATATAAAAAACATTGGCATATTGTTGGTAATTATGTAGTTTGCTTAGTTTTTAATATTCTTAACAATAAAGATTGCTCTTGGTCTATCAATGCTACCTATATTGTATTGATACCTAAGGCGGATAGACTTGAGACCCTTGCCCAATTCGGACCTATTAGTTTTTGCAATATTCTATTCAAAATTATTACTAAGACAATTACAAATAGGTTAAAATTAATTCTACCATCTATTATTGACAACTCCCAAAGTGCTTTTATTCTTGATAGATTGATAACCGATAATGCCTTAATTGGTTTTGAAGTTTTTCACTATAGAAAAACAAGAAAAAGGAAAATCAAGCAACATGGCTCTTAAGTTAGACATGAAAAAAGCATATGATAGAGTTGAATAGTGTTTCTTGAAATCGGCTACGTTAAAACTAGGTTTCCATAAAGATTAGGTGGTACTCATAATGCTTTGCGTTTATATAAAGACCTATTAGTTGATGCAATGTTCTATTCAAAATTATTATTAAGACAATTGCAAATAGGTTAAAATTGATGCTACCATCTATTATTAACAACTCCAAAAGTGCTTTTATTACGGGTAGATTTATAACCGATAATGCCTTAATTGTTTTCAAAGTTTTTCACTATATGAAAAACAAGAAAAAGGAAAAATCAAGCAACATGGCTCTTAAGCTAGGCGTAAGCAAAGCATATGACAAAGTTGAATGGTGTTTCTTGAAATCGGCTATATTAAAACTAGGTTTCCATGAAGATTGGGTGCTACTCATAATGCATTAAGTTTCAATTATATCTTATTTAGTTCTTGTTGATGGCTTACAAATCCATATTTTAATCCTACATGAGGATTGAGATAAAGGGATCCCCTATCTTTATACCTCTTTTTGTTTTATGCGAAGGGCTTTCTAGCCTTCTTCGTCAATCAAAAAGCAATAGTAAACTACATGATGTAAAAATATACTCGACATGCATTGTCGATTTCTCACCTACCTTTTGCAAATGACAACTTATTTTTTACTAATGACTCAATCTAGGAAGCGAGAGAACTTTTTTATTCTCTAAAGGACTATGAGAATACATCATATCAATAAATTAATTTTGACAAGTCGAACTCTCATTTAGCTCAAATGTTCCACAATATATTCAATCTTTAATCTAGAGAGGATGCAAGTAAAGGTAGTGAAGGAGTATGACAAATATTTGGGTCTCTTTTTTGTTATTGGTCATTCAAATAAATATGTCTTCGATTTAATCTAGGATAAAATGCTAGAAAAACTGAAAAACCGACAAAGAAATTCTCATAAAAGGAGTGGCTCAAGTGATTCCTATATATATTATAAGTCGTTTCCTCCTTCCATGAGGCTTGTGTGAGGAACTGGACTCAATCATATCAAACTTTTAGTAGGGTCAAAGGTCCGAAGAAAGACGAATTCATTGGCTAAATTGGAATAGGGTGTGTACCTCAAAGCGATCAGAGAGGTCGGGATTTAAAGATTTCCACTCCTTTAATCTTGCTATGCTTGGCTAAACAGACTTGGAGACTAATGAATGACCACTCTTCATTGTTTTTCAACCTCTTGAAAGAAATATTTCACATCCTCTACATTCAATATGGCTAATAAGAAAGGTTTATCTAGCTACTCTTGGCAAAGAATATTACATGGAAGACCGATTGTTGATGCGAGTACAAGGTGAAAAGTTGAGAATGGTAGAACAATTCAGATTTGAAAGGACAAATGGTTGCCACTCTAAGCTGGCCATAAACCTTGGTTTCCACCTCGACTCTAAAATGAAGATGCAAGTCATTACGGAGCTTATTAACCCATAGACCAACATATAGAAGACCGCTCTCATCCAATGCATCTTTATGCCATTTGAAGTGATATAAATTCTCTAAATTCCTCTAAGCCTTTGCTCACTAGAGGACACGCTAATGTGGCACCATATAAAAAAAAAGGTAACTTCATTATAAGGAGTGCTTATTTTGTAACTTTAAACTTGCTCATAAACAATATGGCAGATACCAGTGGTCTAACTAACATGAAGAAATTAGTGTGGAAGCGAGTTATGGCACCTAAAAATTCATTCAAAAGTCGGACATCTTTACTTGAGAGCATTGAAAGACATCCTCCCTTCAAAAACCAACTTGGCTAAGAGAGGGATAAATTTAGATCCATTTTATGGCCGGTGTGAATACCATTCGAAGTATATTAATCACACCTTATACAACTCGTCTATTTGCCTAAAAGATTTAGAATTCAAGCCGTAATACTATACTTGGTTTAACACCTCCATCTTCTTTCTTGTAAAATTGGTTTTGTGATTTCATACTACAAATAAAAGACCACTGCCATTGAATCCACCATCATGATGACTTAAGGTATTATGATATGCTAGAAACTTCTTATACTTCCAAAATAGAGAGATAGACGTTTTGAGTGTAATACAAATTGTTGTCTCTACTTTATTCCATTATTAATCTGCTAATCACAAGGAGAAGATTCTTATTTCTCAGTCTCGCAATCAAAAGGCCTCAAGTTGGGTCCCTTCATGTGTTGATGTAATTAAGATAAATGTTGATGCTTCCATGAGCAATAATATCGATGGACTAGGAGTAATCACAAAGGATTCTCTCAAAGAGATCGTGTTCTCAATCCATAAAAGACTAGAGGTACAATTCCCTATCGATATAGGCGAAGCTTTGGCTGCACTTTATGGACTTCGACTTGCTATGGATATGGGATTTTCTCGTTGTCTCTTTAGAATCGGACTACTACGACCTTGTCTCTTAACTCTAATCGGATGCTTGAGGATGATAGTTATTTATTTTCTATTACCTTAGACATCAAATAACTAATTAATCGAGTTTAAGTCTTGTACTTATACTCATGGTAGTTGTGCACATAACAAGACTCGCTCATAGATTTGCTAATTTGGGCGATTTCACTCCTCTAAACAATTCTATGTTAAGGACCATCCACGATATCTATGAAAAGTTGTCCAAGTTGATGTACCCTTGTTGATTTCTCAATGAAGTTGAAATTATAAAAAAAATAAAAATAAAAATATATTGTACTATAATATGGATCATAATTAATTTTACAAAAACTGCGTATGACACTCTAGAATTCTCACATCCACTTCATCATGCCATAAAGCCAAATCCTGTAAGAACAACCGTTCATTTCTACACGTTGAAACTGTGGAAAACCAGATTTCTTGACGGCACGATCAACCACTTCCCCACCGATTCTAGTTTCCACCAAAATAACCGTAAAAGGCTTATAATTCTTCAGAAATTCATTCAAAGTTAGCCGAAAATCTTGGCTACCAGCAGCACCTTGGCAACTCCAGATTATAATCGACATAAAAATAATTATATGATAGAAATTAATAAAGAGAGATTAGCGGGGAGCACTGTCCCTGTCTAATCCATTAGCCTCATTGATAAACATCATATTACGATCGCTACCTCCCCATGAGTCACATTCTCTAGAGTCTAGACTAATGGCATTTTTAAGAAAGGATTGCTTTGTTCTAGCACTACCTGATGCTTACATTTTTTTGAGTAGAAATACCAGATTTAGAAGCTTTTTTCCTTTCAGCTTTCTTCAAACTCTCAGGGAAAGATGAGCTATTGATATCTGGCGGTTTCACAGGTGGTAATCCTTGAAGATCGTGATCATTCAACCTGGTATCATCACAACAAATATCACCCCCTTCAACCTCCATTACCTCCTCGTTAAAGTGAGATGAAGGATCTTCAATGTGGACATCTTTGTGGTTATTCGGGGATATGGAATTGTGTGGTACGGGAATGGTTCCAATAGTACGAACCAAAGAACTATCTTCCTTCTTAACAACCGTAGTTCTACGAGTAGCTAAAACTGTTTTATCGAGGGAATTGAAAGAAACAGATGAGCTCTTGGGCTGAACATTCTGTCTCAGAGGCCCAATAGAAGCGGAGGAGGCCTTACCAGTGTGGTTTTTGGGATGAACTGCAGCATAACTGGGCTTTGGGCCAGATTTGTGCACAGGGTTAGAAACTACACCACCAGGCTTCGGGGTATCCCGTTTTAAAATGGAAACCGAAGGTTCCAGATTTGAATGCTCTTCATAAATGCCTTTCTAAGATATCCAGCGCTGATAGACATATAATAATAAAATAAAGAAAAGCTCTTTCAGATACAATTAATATGACTTGACGCGCTATTACATAAGCGAGATTCTCAAAAGGAAAGTTCAATCAACGAGTGTCATGACTTGCGTTGGATTATGGTCGTCCTGTTTTTGGTGCTCCAGATTCAAATTATTGTTATTTGTTTCTGATGGAAGCCTTAATTCAAATTGTTTTTCGCTTCATTACAAAACATTCAAGATCTTGCTTCGCAGAGTTCAAACATTAGATAAGAATGGCTAGGTTCTTCTTGAAGTTTCTTCATTCATCGATAAAAATGGCTTCCGACTTTTCTGCGTTATAGCTGATATGCTTTTTTTTTTTTTTTATAATTTGATTATTAATAAGATTTATAAGTTGCTTGGACAAATGATTTGATTCACCCAAAAACTATATATCTGACTATTTTAAAAAATGATAGCAAGTTCATGCTTTAATACTGGCGAATCCTCAACAAAATTTTAGAGGGTGAGAACATAACTACAAATCTACGTAATTTCACAATGCATGTTAGCATTTAATTTTATTCATGTTAATTTAGAAAATAAATTCAGTTGTGTCCTAACTTAAAAATAATAGACAACAATAATAATAAGTAAGCTGTCAATTTTTTCTTAATTTTCCAAGTAAATAATAAATTAATTCATCTAATTTTGAAAATTTAATTAAATAGTTCTTCTAATTTTAAAAATTAATTAGTTAAATTCTTTTATTCATTCTGTTTTCTTTTTCAAAAGGTAATTAGAAATTGTGGAGAAATTTGGGGAGAGGTTGCTGCCCAGTTGCTGCAAGTTACAGCATGTTGAGGCCGTAGAAATTGAGAGATTGCACAGAAGTTTGCAGGATTGTGGGGGGTTTTGTCTGAGGTAGCTAGGAAATGCACAAAAGAATCTCTGTTTTCTTTTTCTTTTTTCTTTTTTTGTATTTTTTTTGTAATATTGTACTAAGTTTCAAGCAAATAAATAAAAATTTTGTTGATTATCTAATTTATTTTTATTTATTTTTGTTGATTCTTTTTTGGTCTTAATAAAAGAAAAAAAATGGACTTAAGAATAAAAATAAAAGAAGAAACAGAAAGAAATTTTAAAAAACAACAATTAAAAGTTTAAAATGAAGAAAAATTGGTTAGGACAATCAGTCAGCCATCTTTTACTGTTTAATTCCCTTCTTGTGTTAAGGAAAAGCAAAAGAGACGCTATAAAGGTCGCGCCAGAAGGTCAAATTAAGCTGACATTTGGTTAGCGCTGTCGGCAGGAGCTAAAGAATAACACCACTACAACATACGCAAAGAAATTTTATTATTCTGGCAAGTAAAACGCGAGATTATTGCTATTTATTTATTTCCAACTTCGCTGCCCTTTCTGAAATCAATGATTCCTATAAACAGCACTTGTGGTCCATGGATAAGTAAGACGCTGAAGAGTATGAATAGCCACTGCACTTTATTCATAGTGCTTCATTACCAAGTTAAGACCACCAGTTCATCACAACTTACAACCGGAAACTCTCTTAGTACAAACTAAATTGAAACGCGATAATCTTGATGAATCCTTGAGCAGGAGACGCCAATAATATTATCATAACAAAAGCAGAATTAGGAGAAGCAAGAAGCCCTCTCCTCTCTCTATCAAAATAGAGGCGCATCCCTCTTACAGAAAGCAGCCATTCTTTGGATCAACTGTTTAGATTTCTCGTATTCCAAGTCATGACAATGGAATCCATGATCCTCTCCTTCGGTCTCAAATATCTCAACCACACCCATCCACCCACTTCGGCCCAATGCCTCATAATAAAGCCAACCTCTATCTTTCATCACATCATTCTCAGCTACGCAAACCAACACCCTCTTACAACCCAAACCCACTAGGCTCGGTGCACCTTCTGCCACCGGGTTGACCCGTGGATCGTCATTATCCGGGTTAGACGGACAAATAAATGGCCAAACCCGATCCACAAAACCCCGATTAATGATACACTTGTCGTCCGGATAAACCTCCTCTGATCCAATAGGTACCGACCCCCAAAAATAAGGGTGGACCAAAGCAATCCCAAGAAGCTCAATACCAAGCCCAAGCTCAGATTTCCCAGCAGCCATAGCCAGATTGTGAGCAATGTTAGCACCAGAACTATCGCCACCCAAAAAGACATGCTGAAAATCTGCATGATTATTTAACCAATGCTCAGGTCCATCTCCATTAGAATGGGAAGCAACCCATTTGAGTGCAGCCCATGAATCTTCATATGCAGCTGGGATAGGGTGCTCCGGAGCTTTCCTATAGTCAACAGAAACAGCAACAACATCAGCTTCAGAGACAAGTTTGGTTACATAGTTATGGAATGGAGCAATGAATGGTGTGTTGACAATAAAGGCTCCTCCGTGGAAAAAAACAAGGACAGCGAGTTTTTTGTTTGGAACTGTGATTTTTGGTAGGAATAGGCGAGCAGTTATGTTGGATTCTGGGACTACTACAATATCTTTCGATGAAACGCCTGTGATGGGATCGGTTGATGGTGGGGTAAAATCTGTGGGTATCACTCTCTCTACATGGCCATCTTTGTGAACTCTGATAGTCATTGGTAGCTCAAAGACTACTTCTTGTTCGATTGACTCCATGGAAGTCGGAGAGAGACTGAGATTGAGGGAGGCGATGGTATTGAAAACTTGTTATAGGATAGTTATATATATATATAAAAAGACTCGGTCCCTGTTGTTTAACTAAAGCGATTGTATTCATGGTTTTATAAACTATATATATTTAATCTCTGCATTTTAAAATCCATTTATAATCTAATTCTTTTCTTCTGTTTCAATTTTTTTTTAAATAGAAAAAAGAAAACAAGTAGATGGGATAAAAAGAGTGATTAAAAAAAGTATAGATATTTTTTATAAAAAAAACTATTAAATTAAATAACTTCAATATTGATCAAAACATTATCTAGTTATTTTTTACACTTCAAGAATTATTTCATTATTATTATTATTATTATTTTGATAAAGTACAGGTATGAAGTTATAATTGGCTCTTATATGGTTGTTGAGATCCCCCTCCTCCTCTTGATTGCATGAAAAAGAGTTTGACCTGGACGAGGGCCATGATTGTCTTTGTACCGGGTCCTTTGCAAAGTTGAAAAGCCCCGAAAAATATTTGGGCCCAGCCAATATTGGATCCAAAAGGAAATTTAACTTAGCCCAGTTGCCATCCAACAGTTTCGCTGCTTTTTACACTTTGCCCTCCAATTTTCCGCTCAGCAAAAATTCCCACTGCAATTTGCCAAATAGCTCGTTATCAGGAAAATGGAGAAGATGGGAGTAGTGAGAACGATATGCCGGGCAGCCTGTTTTAGATCTTCACGTTTTTCTGCTATTAGCCATAACCAGCTCCGTCACCACATGGCTTCTCGATCTCTTTTCACTGTATCTTCGCCTTCAGTTTCAATCACTCCCAAACGCATTCCTTGCGGTACTTCTTTTTCACTTCACTATTCAGATTCAGTGTGAACTTGTGGATTTTACTTCGTTTTACTGTATTTTTGTTGGGTTTTCTTTTCGAGATCAAATTTGATTAGTTTCTGTTTTAACTTGGTTGATTTTTTCGTCTGCTTGTATAAAGAATCTGGTAAATGGGTTATCTAGATTTTGGTAGAAGCGTACTTTTGCAACCTGGAAGTAAGTTCATGCCTTTAATTTGTTCTGTGTATTTTTCATTGTTTTTGTGTTATTTTCTGACGCACAGTAATGGATTGGCAACTCCAAGCAGTCATATAGGTTTTGCTATTGGCTTAAGTCATGTTTTTATTGGCTTGTTTCCTGGGGATTGTTTTGCGTGCCACTTTTTTGTAGTTGTTGGATTGGCAAAGATATGCTTGCCACTAGAGGCAATGTGCCTTGACTCCATTAAGAAAAACAAGTTTGCTTTGGGCTTCAAATGCTACCATGTCTGTGTGTTTATGCATCTCAATAGATTGAATGCCGACGTGCCTTTTTTTTTTTTTTTTTTTAACAGAATACATTGTGAGATGTGGTGCATTTCTTAATTTGAAATTTTGTTTATGCTCTGAACTTTTTTTTTTTTTTTTTGTGGTGCAAACCCATGCAGATTTCAGGTCTCCTTTTGCAATGAGTGTTGGAAGTCCACGATGTTTTAGTGAGGACGTAACTCACTTTCCTGACATTAAAGATCCTGAAATTTTAAATGTTTTCAAGGACTTGATGGCTATGAATTGGGATGAGCTTCCTAATGTAGTTGTCAGTGATGCCAAGAAAGCATTGTCTAAAAACACTAATGATAAAGCTGGCCAGGAGATCTTGAAGAATGTTTTCCGTGCAGCTGAAGCTGTTGAAGAATTTGGTGGGAAGATCATGACTCTGAAAATGGAACTTGATGACAGCATTGGAATGAGTGGCGAGGTAAATTTATATGGGATTTTCATGACTTCTTGTTTTCTTAACTGTCTCGGTAATTCATACAGTTTGATGGCTGTATTATTCTGAAGGATGTAAAACCTTTGCCGGAAGAGCATGCTAATGCCATTCGTACTTTTTATCAACGGTATGCTGCATATTTGGATTCATTTGGGCCTGACGAAGGTTACTTGAGGAAGAAAGTAGAGACAGAGTTGGGATCAATGATGATATACTTAAAGATGAGATGCAGTGGCCTTGAAGCGGAGTGGGGGAAGGTACTTAACTCGTTGCACTTTTTTGGATGCCACAAACGTTACTGCATGATCTAGCCAAATTATAGTATTGTATTCTAGCAAAATTATGTACTTTACAGCTTTTGGTCTGTCCATTATTTGCCACAAAATGCATCATACTAGGTATATATGATAAATATGGCTAAGGTCATCTCACAAAACGACTATGTAACATGCAGTAGTGTAGAACTATTGATATCCTAGTAGTGTTGACCACCTAGGACAACCTGGGTTTGTGAAGGTTGGATGACCGCTCGAAGGATGTCCAGCCTTGAGCTTTTTACTTCTGCATTTGCAGGGATCCTACAAATGAATGCTAAGTCAGGTGTTCAACTTTCTTACTTATTACGTCTTTTTGACACAGGTTACCGTTCTAGGCACTTCTGGGCTTGCTGGCTCTTATGTTGAGCAAAGAGCTTAGGGCTGTAGTTTGGGAAAGATTTGAGCTTTCAAAATTTGCAGCCATGTTTTTGAATAGTCGGAGACAGAATGCGGTATTCCTCTGAAGAAAAATCTTCCAAGTTAAATTTCTGGGTTGTTAAATAATAGCTCCCCTCTGCTGACAATTTAAAGCTGTTTTTTTTCGTCCAGTTGGTAATTTCGTCTTGCATATTTCCTTCCTTGTGATGTCTCGTCCAACAATGTTTGTATGATAAAATAAGGTACTGTTGCAATGGTTTTGCCATGGCCAAGTAAATGCGGGGAAGTTTTTCCCTTGGTTTGAACTTTTTAAGTTGTTGGGTTATCAACTCTTTAACTGGGTGTGTGTATTGTTTGCTCACCTACATGAGGATCAGTGGTGTAATCTGATCGCGTGGTGTTAAAATGATAAATGATGTTTTGAGAGCTTGAAGTGATGGGATGACGATTCTAAATTAAAATCTAGGATCAAAAGAGGGGACTCTAGGTGCTGCTTAATCTGTGAAGTACTAACACGATAGATATCCTTATAACCCAGAAGGTGGTCTATTACTTGCTTGACAGCTCTCTACAATGAATAGAATACTTATTGATATAAAAGAACACAGAAGGATCAAATTTTGTTGACAGTAGAATTGTGATAGATACTTCTAGTCGCAAGTTAATTCCTTTGTAATGTTTGGATCTCAACAGCAATTGATTAAGTAATTGTTGGCGTGAAAACAATGGTTTTTTCCTCCCTGATTTCTGCAGATATCAATGAATACGATTAAACTATCTTAATTCTGTTCCTTTTATTCAGAAGAGGGCTGGCTTTTGGTTTTGAGCCAAGAGCAAGCTCACCAAGGGGGTATCATTTTCCATGACAAGATGTTATTTGTTACATTACTGGTAGGTTGACCAGTTTTTCCAACTTCATAAACTTCAAATGAGAACATGACTCTTAAATTAGGTAATGACCAGCTATAATTTTGAGGGGGTATACCGTATACAAACGGTTTCTCATAACCGAAATCTTATTGTTTATTCTTAAATCATGATTTGCCTGCTTGCTTTCCATTGCCAAGGCCAAAAAACAGATGAAAGATGCTCTTAACTCTTAAGCCGTTTTAACGATTCTAACACCTTTACGCCAGGACCAAGATTCAGAAGGGGATTTGGGCAAAGGTGGAAGTAACACAACCTTCCTGCATAGACCAAATGGCCATCCCTGACAGTGACAGAACTCCTGGAGTATGGAACGCTTTGGAAAATCTGGAAACTCAAGCCCGTTGAAGCTTGAACATCGAGAGAAGTTTGTCTTGGCAGAAACAAATGCTTCCCTGCTCAAAGCACTCGAACAGCAGGATAAACAACTCCCAATGGAGAAAAAATCCTCTCGTGTATCATTATATTCATCATTTTCGTCATTGCTGCTGTCATCATCATCCTTGTTTTGAACAGCCTTCGGAGCTACAAACAATTCTCCTGTTTTCGGAGAGTATACCCAGGAAAAGCTGTCAGAAAAAATAAGGGGTTTGTGCCTCAACTTTTCCATGGCTCGGCTTCGAATTTCTGAAACAATAACCTGAAAAAGGCAAACACGCTTAGATTAGCAAGGAAGATAGGAAGTTCAAACTTGAAATTTGCATTAGTGAAAACGTGAGTACTTCCTGTTCATCATCAACGTCCGTTGTTGGATACTCTTCCTCCGGACTTGAAGTTGAAATCCGTCCACCACAAGCATTGCAATTAGAAAACACATCCTTCAAAGTTGCAGCAAGGAATTTACATTTCTTAGAAGGATTTGGTGGCTCTTCATGGTGAAAGACACCCATGTTGGAGAAGACAAAGTTTGGTGGGATTCCAACTTTAATGGCATGGTACAGCAAATATATACAGCACTAACATTTATAAGTCATTGTTTGTGTTGATGTCCATATTGACTTGCTCCTGTGATAGTGGCTTTGCATCCTCTCGACAATACTGGCTTTTCTATTCTTTGGGGTCAAGACTAAGTTAAAAAAGTTGAAAGACGTATTAACAAATTACTCGAAAATCCAACTTAAGTTTCTCATTGCCATTTTTTTTTCTTTTTTTTGCTAAAAATTCTTATGGGGACCCTCGATTGTCAATTCATGTAACCCATGCCTTTAAAAAGAGTGTTAATTTTGTCTCTTTCAAGCAACCACTTAAAGCAGAAGTTACGGTGAAGTAGGACATGATACCAAACTGTGAACGCTCTTTACCATTTGATACTTAAGAATGATGCCCTGCCGTACAGCTTATTACGGGCAAGCAGAAACGTCCATTGAATTTATTTTAGTGTAACAAAACATGACCATTGATTTGACCCCAATTCTGCATTAAATGATTAAAACGTAATTAGACGCATTAAATTTAATGAGCTGGTTGAAATTAGTAACGCAAGCTTAAAAGTGGATTTCCTTTTTTCTGCCTTGAGCTTGAAAGCAGGTGATATAATGATAGCATTCAATCCGTTACGAACTGTCTCTCTTCTAAAATTATACTCAATTAAAGAGAAGGAACAGAATTTAGAACCAAAGGCAAATCCGAAACTGCAAGAAATTGGAGTCTCTTTGCAATCTTCATCCACTGCCAGTCCAGAAGTAAACACGCTAGGACTAAATGCAGGAGCAACTATTACTAATCAAGTTACCTATTGATAATGACACATAACACATTCATTACAGACAACCTAACCAGGCCCAGATTTGCCACTAGAGTTGACAGGGTTATTGAACTGATGGTGAATTTATTCACACCAACAAGGGCAACTCATGGGCCATGCAAAAAAAACAGAGCAGTACATTCTGAAAAATCATAAGAATTAATAAATAAATAAATAAGCAAAGCCGTTGAATTGACAAACTAGATAGTAAAATGTAGAAACTAGTGCACATACCACCACCAGAATATCATCTTTTAAGCTCCAGATGAAATCCTCCCAAGAGAACATTTTACCTACTTTCAGCTGCCATGCTGCCACATCTACGTCAGAGACGAACTTCTTATGTTTACTTAGAGAAAAAAACTTCTCAGCTTGCATCCGAAAGTTTTCCAGACAACCTAACCCTGCCAAGATTTGGACCTCGAATTTGGCAGGGTCATTGAACTAAATGTATGATCATATTCACGATAACAAGCACAACTACAAAGCAATGAAAGAGCAAAGTTGTTGAATTGACAAACTACATTGTAAATGTAAATAAAAAAAAGTTGTTATCTTTCAACCTCCACAAAACAACTCCAAAACGCACATCTTACCTACTTTTAGCAATGAATAGATGGAAAATCTGTCTGACATTGCTACACCTACATCAGAGATGATTTTCTTTTAGGCGTAGTTAAATATAAATGGTTGTCAACCACAGAAAAATCAACTCCGGTTACATCTGAAAGTTCCCGTAAGACTAGTTCCTTGCTCATTTTCCTTCAAGGCAAACGATCAGAATAGTTGAATACTTCTTTAAAATAAACATTGAAACAGATTCAAACATACAATTTCACTGTGCAAAATGAAAACATCTCTACTGAAGTTGGTAGAAAATACATATCTCAAAACAAATTACTAGGGTAAAAAGGAACTTTACAACAAACAGCTGCTGCAAATGATATATCACAACAAATATCAGATACACTGAAGAGTCACGATCATGTTACAAAACTACACATCTTAATGAATCTATCCCTTCATTTGATCAGTTCCAGGTACAGAACCATTTCACAGCTAATTAAATGTCTGATCCTGATGCCAAATCCACTAATAAGCTAAGAGCAAGTGAGAAGACCATGTCACATGCTGGTTCCACATACAGAACAATTTCACAGCTAATTAAATGTCTGATCCTGATGCCGAATCCACTAATAAGCTAAGAGTAAGTGAGAAGACCATGTCACATGCTGGATTGATAACGATCACACTCAGCTATTGGAAAGGTTGATGGCTCACAGAAACTCTCACTTCCTCTGTTCTCTACCTCTTGCTCCCATATAATCAAGTACGTTCGGCCCAATGAACGTGAAGTTGGGAAAGCAATCAGGCAGCCAACTGCTCCAAAGATCAAGTTAAGAAAGGAAAAGGCAATTAGAGAATGTTTCAATGTGTGAATAAGCACTAATGATTTAAAGCCCCATTTGGTTTTTAATGCCTATAAAAGTTTCTGTAGTTAGTTCTTACGATTTTATTTCGAACTAGAGAAAGTAAACCCAACCTTAATCTCAAACCAGAAACGTTAGTGTGTAAACCCCTCTCTCAAGAACAATTTTGGTCCAAACAGGCCTCACAAAACAGGTACTGTAACTCCATCATTTTGACACCGAAAAGGAATATTTGAAGCAAACAAACCACTGAACAATAAAATTAAGCAATGAACGTCAAAATCATGAATTTTTAGAAAAATTGAAGGAAGAATTACAAATTTAGACTGTTAAAATTACTTTACTACTACTGATCGTCAAATTGTAGCAAAATCAAAAGGTAGAAAAAGAAGTCAAGCATACCAAAAATGAAGGAGTCAAGTGGGAAATTTCTGGAGTTGCTGTGAAGTAAGAGAAATAAGAGACTGAAGCTTGGCAACGGCAGAGGTTTTATCAGGAGGACATTTCGAGAGAGAGACATTCAAATATTGAAGAGCCTCATCAAGTTTCCCTGCAGCCAAGGCTGCACAACCTGCCCTGTAAGCCCCGTCTGCGATTTTGGCATCATATTGAGGATTTTCACCCGAATCGGAGCTCATGCTAGTCTTTACTATTTGGGTTGTTGGGGAAGGAGAGTCGAGAAGTGCAGTGGCACGACTGTATTCCAATTTGGTAATAGCAGCGTCGATTTCAGCCATGAGAGTTTCTGGGTTTGATGAGGACACGTTTCTCACTCCTTCAAATACGCTCCAGTGAGTTCTCCCATCTTCAGAACCCATCTATCTTCCCCCTAAACAAGCATTTACTTTTCTCCAACGGATTTGGATCAAATCAATCTGTAAATTTTCTTGCCTACTTGGATTTGCTTGCCGGTAAGATCTGTTTTCCTAATTTTGTTTTGAGTTTCAGAAATATGCTTGCAACCCAAAAGGCCTTGTTCTCTCTACAGTGGAGCCCAGCCCACAAGGTCCTTATTAAAAAATTGGTCTTCGTCCTGTCCTGTCTCCGTTTTGGTTTGACATTTTAATCCCCCCGTTCCAAAGGCAAAAGGAGGAGCTTTTTAGGTCCTTTCCACTTTCCTTATTGACACCGAGAAAGGAGACATGCTAATATGCAGCAGCGCTTCGACTATAAATTCATTTTATATGGCCAAGTACTGTGTTTCTGTCTATAACTGTCCATTCAGTCACTGATACATTCATTCAAATTGCGGTTGTGTTTTACCAAAGTAAAATCATATTACAAACCTTCCCAGGAATATGAATCTTGTTAAGTCTCCTGACAAGAAAATCCGAGCAAAGTATTCAACATACAATAAAACAAAAATGGAGGAATATCATCGAGCTGATGCAGATCTTTCCATGTTCTTGCAACATGCAAAATCAGACTAAGGGAGGAACCGTCAGCCAAAGAATATCTACTTCGAGACTCGTTACAAATTACCATCAATCGGTAACTTAATGTCTGTATTAATCAAAAGACGAACTTGTAGAGAACAAGAACCACAAGGAAGAACAACTGATGCTGGTAAAGCATCGGGTGTCTCAATTGATATCTTACAATCGTCCCTCGATAATGTATATCCCATTTTCTCAAACTCCGAAGAATCAATGGAAAAATAATCACCACACCGGCACTGGTAAAACATCTCCAAGATTTCTCCGTTGTCTTCAATCATCATTTCCTCTAAACTGATATCTTCTGAAACTTCAGTGTCTTGCCTCAAAGCTCGCACCTTGCTATCATAAACCCCACGAGACATCGAGTTCCCAAGGATCTCCCAAGCCTTCTGCACCTTCAGAAATCTATCATCTGATTCATTTTTAAGGTCAGATGTATGGTGTGTATTTTGCAATTTATCAGGATGATAATTGAGTATGGCAGATCGGTAGCTTGCACGGATTTCTTCATAACTAGCATCTTCTTTTACAGATAGAACGTCATAGTAGGTTTCTCGGATGAAGTTCTTCCAATGAAGCATGGTTCAATACTGCTACTTATGCAATCAGATACGCTGCAAAATGCAAGGATGATTTCAATTCAGATGAATGCAAAGAAACAACACCAAAAGCATAAAATTAGCAAATTTTTTAGTATTTTCAAGTTCTGATGGCAAAGATTGGGAGGAAAATCCAACGAAGACCAGTTTATTGATCTCATAAAGCCTACTCGGTTGGTAAATCTTACTTTAAAAAGTCAATCTTCTAATTGCTAAAGCAGCAATTAGCTTTAAAAGCTCAGGTTTCCACCCAAACAAAAAAAAAAAAAAAAACCATAGTCAAGTATAAGAAAAAATCAACATGCTTGGATTCCCAACCTGCGATCCTTGCTTTGTTCATCTCATATCGTAACATTTTAACTACTCTTATAATTATCATTCGGTAATTAAGCTTTTTTAAAAAAAGAAAAAGAAAAAGAGCAAGTGATTTAATCCAAAGATCGAAAATATGAATTTTGGGAAAATTCAAAACCCTAATATGTGGATATAAATGATATAAATCATGGGCAGAGGAGAACCTGAAAAAGAAACCGTACCAGTTTCTTATGCTCTGATATGATTTCAAAACCCTGGCGGCTAATCATCACAGATTGCTTCTTCTTCGTTGCCTTCATATTTGCACATGCGTAGTGCGAAGCACGACGTCGTATCCGACCGCGGCGTTGGCTTTAATAATATGCGGTGGGAGCTTTATGATGGGCCGGCCCGGTTTTTTTACATCTAATAGGTTTAATCCATGTCGGCTAATCCAAATCGAGGCACAGCCCAAGATTTGATGCGCTTGGGCATTACCTCGTTGTTTTCTAAGTCAGAGTCCTGCTAATTTTACTGAAGATCTTTCCATAAATTACTTATTCCAAAATCCCTCATTCAGCGGATGAGATTGCTCTTTTGTCATGACTTGGGGATTTGAGGTTACTTAGCCTTGTTGCTCTCTTCTACTAAGGTCACAGAAATGACCATAAAAAATGAGGTCACAAAAAATTATTAATATTATTCGGTATCTTTTTTTCTAATGGGCAATCTACTGTCCCCGAGCCGTAGAGAAGGACCCTGCGAGTGAGACGGGATAAAAGTACGCAACTATAAGCCAAGAAAATGGTCAGATGCACTTCTTCTTCAAGCACAGGCACGCTTTGTTCCACGACCAAAATATAACACCCTTTAATTGAAGGGCTATAGTTGGGCTTTGTTCATTGTTTTTGTATTCTTCGAATTGTTTTAAACACCATCTTGTCCCCTTTTTTTTTGTTTATTGAGTCCTTTTATTGTTTATTTTATTTTGTTTATATCCTTCTATTACAATGCCATAGTTGTGAGCTGATGTGCACTGATATAGTGCATTTACTCCTAAATATATGACACATATTATACATAAAACCCCAATAAATAAACTTAATTAAAACAATGAAAATATATAAAACTTCAATTAAAACAATTTTATAAAATACATGGACCAAATTATAATTTCTTTTTTTTTCTATGCTATTTATTTTTTAAAATACGCAAAATGTATTATATACGAAACTCCATTACAACAAAACTGTGAAATATATTTTTTTTAAAAGAAATTGTTACAATAAGTTAAAAATAATAAATAATATGTAAAAAAAAATTATTAAAATAAAAATATATCGCTCAATCACAAATCTCTAATTGATAGGTTTAATTATCCATAAAAAATTTCGAATATGTGATTGATTCAAAATGAAAAATAGAGCTAGTTTTTCAAAAGAAAAAAAAAATTAGAACTACATCACATTTAATTACTAATCAGCATTACTACTTTCATTTTAATTTACATAAACATATTTATACGATTTTTTAATTACATGTTAGGTAATCTTTTTTTTTTAATTGCATGTTAAGTATTATTTTTAAATTAATATAATAACTTTTAAAAAAATGTTCAGGTAATGGAATCTAAACATGTTTTGCAACATTCAAGATGAAATCTTAAAAAAACAATAATATTAAAAGAATAATAATAATTTGATCTCTACACTCATTGAATAGTGTTGATTGAATTTTGATTAAATCTTTCTATTAGAATCTCACACATACGACACATATCACACATTAAAAAATGAACACGCCATGTTAGCATTGCCACGTTAGCATCACTAACAACATTATAATAGAGCAATATAAAAAAAACAAAAGAAAGATCAGAGGACTCAATCAGTACAATATATATATATATATATATACACTAACAACATTATAATAGAGCAATAGAAACAAAACAAAAGAAAGATCAGAGGACTCAATCAGTACAATATATATATATATATATATATAAAATCTCAATCAAAACAATTCAAAAAATAAAAAGACCTAAAGGGCCAAAACCCGCTATAGTTATAAAGCTATAAGTGAGAGAAAGATGCATGCACTATGAAACTAATGAGAAAACAGACTCTATTCCATGGCTCAACTCGTAAACACATCCACTTCCACCACCATAGTCCAAAGAAAAAGCTCCTAATTCCTCCTATAAAGAAATTAAACAGTAAGCGACAGGTTACAAATTTGCATCCCATTTCAAAAATCATTTTTTTCGTCCATTTAACAACCAACTGAACCAATCTTCTCAGGCTAATCCATAAAGAAAGTTCTTGATGTCTAACGGTAAAAGAGGCCGCCTTGCCTGGGCACCAGATCCTAGCTTTAAAATCACAGGCGCCAGGACTACTGCACCCCGTGTTACAAAAATTGAACGAGGATCACACTCCTCGCCCATTCTCTCTTTTTCAAAAAAAAAAAAAAATTAAATTAAATCAAAATTCACCAGATCTGGATGTAGGAGTGCCTAATCAAAGGTATCAGCAGAGGCAGCTTCACACCTTTTTAGAACCGTCACAAGATGATAAAGACTGCGGCTCAAGCAATTCAACATCAACGAATTTGGGATGTAGCACCCAATCATGCACTAACAACACCGGAAACCCAGGGAACAATCAATGGCGCATTTGGGTGGGAATCTCTATACGAGTTAGAATACCTATCCTTGAAATTCAGTTTGGGCTTTTCCGCCTGCAGTTTGATAAAATAATGTCATTATTAGGTTGTTAGAGTCCTGATGAAAATTAGCTCGTAATTAAACAGTAAGCGGCTTACATATTTTAGCCAGCACTCCTGATTTTTATGTTGATAGATATCTGGTGAATAGCACCCTGTCTCTGATGGGCAATAGACCCATACGTTGCATTTCTTTTCACCAGGCTTTGCATATTTTGCATGATCTAAGCAAGCTTGACAGCAGTCTGCTGCACTTTGCTTATGGTGTGTAAGGCCCCATCTAACAGCAGCACCGTCATAGTCAGCATGGAGCTCGGCATGGCATTCAGGTGGAAGTGGCCTGCCAGGTAGAACCTCTTCCTCTGTGAAAAAACAAGAAATTAATAAATAAGCATATATAAACTCGTTTCATCATAGATGCTTAATGGGAGATGAACCTCATCATGTTTTCATATTTCAAGTGAAAGGAGAGTTGAGGTGGTAGATGTGATCAGCAGTAGGTTCAAATTAAGTGCAGGTTCCTATAAACTTGTTTCTGCTCTGGAGCACAAGATACCAGCTACATGAAAGAATAAAATTTTACCAACAGAAACCTCAATTAATTACCAGGCTCTTCTTCACTATCAGGCTTATCATCATGTTCCTGTTGAATTACTTCAGCAGGTACCCAAAGGCCAATATTCTCTAACAGCACAGCCCAATCAGACTCCAAGGCTCTTACTAGTATGCCTACAGCACAATCAATCACAAGAGTAAGGAGCAGGGTCTGGAAAACGAGGATTCAAAGTGCTTCCTAAAGACTCAAATATGATTGGTCCATGAGGGCATTACATCAGAGAAATTTAAATGCCACAAAACCACACCCTTCCAAGGACAAAAGCATACCAGCTTCCTCTTTCAGAATAGATGAATTCACCCCCCTGTTCCAAGGGCCAAATGTTTGACTGCTTGCAGTTTTTCTTTGCGCCAGCTTTCAACAGCATCTGTTTATCAAAAGAAGAGCAGAACGAAGATAAGGCAAGATATCTACAAAGACAAGGTCAAAAGTCATTGCTATCTTGTTACATGGCCTATTCATATCCATTTACACTGATTAGATGACCCTACGGTAGACAAGCAAGTGATGACTTTCTGGACAACATAGTTTTAATGTTGGTAAAAATTGTGAACTGTCAAGAATGAGACCAGAAATACAATGACAAAGAAGCAGCAATAAAATTCTCATACAATCAGGACTGGATGGTTATCAGCTGAGTAAAATGGCAACTGAACAGAAATATGATGTCGGTCCAAAAATCATCCTGACAGTACGCTTGACCTCCATGAGGAAGGAAGTCACCATTTCAACTAGAGATGTGTTCTTGAATGACAAATATTGTCAACATCCAAAGAATCCTTTTAGATAATTCTAAGGAGAGCTTAAATACAGCAGAGATTAAGACACAGAAGAACAAAAAGTCTACAGCTTTCAGGACAAGGAATGGCTGAAATTCTCCATGCCAAAGGTATTCAACATCAAATAATATCAGTCAACAAAATGGAAATTCCAAATAGTATCTTCTGAAAATTCCTCTTTCTTTTTATCAAATTTCCAACCTAACCATGGAGGTGATAAAAGACAAAGAGCTGTATAACAGACCATACCCACAAATGTCATGCAGCACCACGATAGATTCCTATCATCTTTATATATGAAATCACAGAGTGCATGATGTGCCAGCAGAACCTTGTGAACAAGATCCAAAGCATAACATCAACACTAAAGCACCACAATCTCAATGCATTATCAATTTTTAATTGAAATAAATTAAATGAATCAGATGTGCTTTTTAATTTCAAACCAAGCAATACCTGATTGATTATGAAAAATTTATAGCTAACGAAAAGAAATACAGGATTTTATGACAAGGAATTTACTTTTCTAGTTAGCTATTTAACAGCCAATGTGATCACATATAAGAAATTAGGCACAAATTCCATGAGCATTTACACCATAGTAATTTGGGACTGAAGTAGAAAAAAAGACCTATAAGAGGATGCTGGTGTTAGCAAAACCAAAGCCCCAAATCCTTAAATCATCAAGAAGGGCAGCATAGTAATAATGCAAATAGAGGTCATGAAGTTTGCAATGGTGAGACATGAGACGTGGAAAAACTATGGTAGCAATAATTATGGATACATAAGAGACCTCAAACACTAAAAATGTCAGTAGCTAATGATACAGATGGTGTATTCATAGCATGAAGGTGAGCATGGTATACGCATCAGGTGCTGGTACAGCAAAAGAAAAGGCACTTGTCAAATGAAAGCAAACAAATATAGCTGTGACTTCATAATAGACGCAGCCAGGTTGGAAGTAGATATGGCAAGAAAATGGAAGTAGCATGTTGTAATTGATGGAGGAGACAGTGTTTATCATAACCCACCCATGTTTAAGCATTTCATAATGCAACAAAACCAGATAATTCAATATATATATAATGGTGGTATTGAATTCCAATGAATTCTATACTCCTTATACAACACTAGTAGGATCTGCTTGAAAAAACAACCTCGTCTCGTTTGTTTTCCACCTTTTTGTACTACAAATATGGGAAGGGAGGCATAGGCCCCTGACAAAAACTAATGTTGAATAGATTCAAACACCCCTCTTCAGTTCAATAATATGTTAAGCCGTCATGCAGAACATCTATAGAAGAGTATACAACAAAAATGAAATACCGCACTTGCTGTTTCCCAATACAGTGTTTATCATAACCCACCCATGTTTAAGCATTTCATAATACAACAAAACCAGATAATTCAATGTATATATATATATATAATGGTGGTATTGAATTCCAATGAATTCTATACTCCTTATACAACACTAGTAGGATCTGCTTGAAAAAACAACCTCATCTCGTTTGTTTTCCAGTATCGTACTACCAATATGGGGAGGGGGCATAGGCCCCTGACAAAAACTAATGTTGAATAGATTCAAACACCCCTCTTCAGTTCAATAATACTTTACGCCGTCATGTAGAACATGTATAGAAGAGTATACAACAAAAATGAATACCGCACTTGCTGTTTCCCAATACAGTGAAAGGATACAAAAAAATGTTAAGCTTCTACAGGATTATATCAAATTATTATTATTATTATTATTATTATGAATAATACACTTAAAATTGGCTGAGCATTCAAAACTACAACGAACCAAGTGTTCATACCTAACCTAATTGCGTTAATCAATTTTTTTTTGTAATGATACAGACAGTCGCATAACAAGACGATACAGAATTGAAAGATGAGCCTACCTCTCTGCTCACTGATATTCGCATTCGCATTCAAGCTTCTCAATCTATGCAGAATCTCATCAGTTATTTTATTCTTAACCTCTTTTGGTAATTCAACCACCGTTTCTTCTCTGTTAAACTCCTCCTCAAGTTCCTTCACCTTTAAAAAAAAAAAAATCCACTTCATTAAATTAAACTTCCAACATCCAAATAAGGAATCCAAAACTCAAATTAATCACACGATAACTGAAAAACCTAAAAAGAAATGCTTACAATTTTAACAAGCTCTACAGGTTCTTTCGCTCTTCGAATCCGAATTGATTCCTCCATTTTCCTAATCTGATCTGGTGTGTACTTTACAACTACAACACAAAAAATAATATGTATATATGTATCTCCAAAATTCAATAAAGAGAAAACAAAAAAAAAACTTAAGAGAGTTAGTTACCTTCGTCAAAATCATTATTGGAGTAAAGATAAAGGGAAGCATATAGAGAGCGAAGAACATAAAGAGCAACAACTATGTTAATAGAGCAAACAATGAGAGTGGTTCTCTTATAGGAACATCCCCATTTCACTCCTCTCGCCATTTCCTCCTCCTCATCCCACAATAATATCCAATAATTCTCTCTCGGATTCTTTCTTGTATTAGATCGATCGATAGATCGCTGCAGTGAAGTCGTTTTTTCTCCAAATCCAGTGATTTGGGAAACAATAAAGAGTGAGTTTTGTGCTTATGTTTTACGTTTAGCACTTTGGGTCCGCGCTATCGTGCGCTTGCTGCCGTCGTGGAGGACGTTGCTAGAAGTGGATCGGGGACTTGATTATAACGGATTAATAAGAGTAATGATTGATGTTTCCTTTCTTTTAATTTTAATGACTGGAGAAGAGTTTGTTTGTTGGGTTGCGTGTAAATGAGCTTTGTTTTGCTGACTCTGGGCTAACGTGCGCCTTTGTGGTTGGGCTAGCGGCTAAGATAGGATGCATCTTGATGCGGCATAAAATCACGTCAGCTGATGCCTGCTGCTGCTGTTTAAATATTCCTATCATATGATGAATGAATTTTTGCATGTCGCCTTTCTTACGCAAAAAAAATGGGGTGGGTTATAACTGCTTCATCTCCACCCTATTTTTATGGAAGTGGAAAGGAGTTCAAAGATTCTTTATTAATAAAAGAATATAGGTTTTTTTTTAATTATTATGAAGGTAAACACCATGACGAATTTATTTTAAAATATAAATTATTTAATATTTTTACTTTACAAAATAAATAAATAAATATATATATATATATATATATATATATATATGACAATTTCCATTGTTATAGGAATGCATTATAGTGTCTTAGAGTTACAAACTATTAAATATTTTATTTATTATAAACTATTAAATATTTTATTTATTATATCGTAATAATTTATTTTATCATTTAGTATTTTACCTGATTATTTCGTATTTATGCTAGTTACTAATATTATGTGTAATTACAATTCAAGAGGTACATTTTTACCTTCGAAAGAAAAATAAATATCACTTCATAACAAGTAAGTGATTGTTTAATGCTAGATAGATTCGTTTCATATACCGTAAAAAAAAAATTATTTTTTCAAAATTTAGCTAATTGTTTTATCTTATTATAATTACGAACTAATAAATATTTACACTCACTGCATATAAAACACTATCATATTACTTTGTAAGCTTGAAAGGATTGTGATTGTAATGCCTTGAGGTAACAATAACAAACCCCGTGTGTGTGTGTGTATTAGAGTTTGGTTTTCTGCATGGAACATGTTTTTATCCTCTTCTCTGTTTATGTATAGCTAGCTGGTTATTTGTGTTCGGTTGCGAATCAGTCAAATAAAAATTTGTTTAAAAAAATTATTATAATTTGATAGTTCTTGTTATGCTATAGATTCGCTCAAATATATCAAAATTAAAGATAAAAAAACCTAATTTTATAATTTTTAATCAAAATTTTATACTTAATTAATAATTTTCTGTGTTTATCTAATAGATTTTCTTCTTAAAAAATATGATTGTATTTCTTTATGCATGGATTCTTACATAAAATTTTATAGTAATCCAAGTTTTAATTAATCAGAAATCCAAACAAGTATGTGTAAATTTAATATTTTTTTCATAAGATTGTATTGAAAAATAAAACAACAATTAATGTAAAAAATTTACATAAAAATTTAAAATAGTTTTTTATCCTTATTGAATATCAATGAGAAGATTAATTGTTGAAAGTATGCATATTAGGTTTTTATATATGTATTCCTAAAATAATCAATAATATTGTTACAAAAAAAAAAATCTATTTGAAAAGTATGTTACCATAGTGTGTTTCTTTTAGAATGTAATTTTAATTGTTTTATTTAAAGGAAATTGATTTCAAAATACCTAAAATAAAAGAGAAGCAAATGTTAAGTGTTTTGTGTGTATATGCCTTGTTAATTTTCAATAAAAAATATTTATAAAATTTATTTTCATAAATTTTGATTAAATAAAAAAAGTCGATAAAATGTGTGGGATCTATTTTTTTTTCTTTCTTGACATATATTTTTATTTTTAAGCCATACATACTTGATTTCTATACATAGGTTTCACGATTATAACAATCAATTCTCTCTCATTTTTCTTTCACTTCTTATTTTTAATTATCATACAAAAACTAAAAAATGTTTTTAATAAAAAATCTAAACGATATTTAAGAAAATCAAGTAAATATTTTGAGATATTGATTTCTTTCTTTCTACCGTTCTATAGTATATAACCACCATAAACAAACTCCTTTCTCTAGGAAAAATAAATCCAAATCCAAATTAACAATTAATGTGGTCAGAATGTACTTTGCTATTGTATTTTTTATTTCATCTTCTCTCTACATTTATAGAGCAAATCATAATATAAATAAAGTTAAGAATCAAAACAATTTTTTTTTGATAAAAATCAAAGACTAGAGTACAACATTTGTTAAAACTTAATATCAAATACCCGAGTAAAAATTGAAAATCACAATAATACTTTCAATAATATATAAACAAAGAGTAAAAATTACAATAATGCTACCTGAATACTGAGAATAAAAAATTACAACAATATCAAATAAATAATATACATGAGTGTGGATAAATAATAATTAATTCATTTTATTTTAAATTTTATTGTTAATGACAAAAGGGCTGCACATCTTTAATGGAATCGAGTTCCGTCAGGTATCTATTAAATGCAATCTACTAGATTGATAACACGAGTCAAGATCAGATTGCTATTTGTAACTCACCACTCCTATCATCACAATATCTACATTATCAATTAATATTGTTCGGGGTAATGCCATTTTTTGTATTTAAACTACGGATAATACTAGAAATACTTTTTTTTAAAAAGAAAATTGTTTATCAAGTGATGTATCATTTAGGCGTGAAAATTGAAAAATATACAAAAGTGAGATTTTTCATTGAAATGATTCATTTGCTTTTTTTTTTTTTTAATTTTCAATTTTGAACTTAACTGAGTTTTTATTTTTAAACAAAAAATTAATTGAGTTCAGTTTGGAATTTTATAACTAAAAAATAATATTTTTAATTCTTTATTAAATGTTAAAATGATAAAATCATTTAAAAAGAAAGTGTTTTTCAATAAAAAGAGAGTAAAATTATAATTCCGTACTCAAGTACGTCATTAATTAACAAAAAAATAATTAAAGTACTTAATTAATAATTTTAAAAAATTAGTGTACTAAATAAAAAAAATAAAGTTCATGTACCCCATCAAGAAAAAGAGTAAAATTATAACTTAGTATTCGAGGGTAACAAACATGTTATCGGTTATAAAAAAATAAACGAAAATACTCGAATTGATAGTTTTAAAAAAATTAGTGTACTCAAACAAAAAAAAATTAAAATTCTTGTGCTTGATTGAATTTTTTTAATAATCATCGTACTTATAATGTAATTATCCTTTAATAGTAATTTTAGTTTAAACACATAACAATAAATTACCAAACAATTGAGTGATTTTACTCACAACATATCACATTATTTCATTTCTAAATAGTTTTTTGTTTAGATGAAGTACCAAATAGTTAATGTGTTTAATCTTGCATTACAACTCAACAAAACTCAAAACTCACAATACACCATAACACAATATTTATAGTCATTGCAAAGCATAGTGGAGGCCAAAATTAAAGACTCTAAATTTTAGACTCCTAAAATATGCCATCAATATCGTTAATTTTAAATTCTTTGGCAATGTACATCCTTTCACCCTTCTTAGCTTATCAACACAAAACAGAAAAATGTCTTATTCATTTAAATCAACCATCAATTTTCATTCTTCAAGCATATAGATTTGGTCAAAATTGTTCTTGTTGATCAATAGGTAAAAGACTCTAAAGGTGGATTTAAACTTTAAATCTAAATACTTCTGTTGTGCATTATGAGACGTAAAAAAACATATGACCTTGTCTCGTATTTATTTTATTATGAATATGAAGCATTGTTGTGGCACTCTTGACCTCCCTTCAGGCAGAGGGTGTTACAGACTTGATCTTCTTTGATTAACCCCATCATCCACCAAAAAACAAGCACCATATGTCAACGCCTCTTTCCTTTATGATATTGACCATAGAATTCGATCCAGAAATCTTCCAAACCACATCTTCTCTATCCAGCGCAAGAGCAATGGTGGGTATAGCCGGTCCTATTTTTGTATTCTTTACAGCACCTGCAAGGTTGCACACTGAACGTCTCAACAGGCTTCGTCGTGGTAGTAAGATGGAAAGCAGAGGAAGCTTCCTTCAAGAATGCTTTAATAAAGGCATTGTAGATATGGTACAGCCATGCTTATCTTGGTTCCCTCAGAAACATTCTTACCATCAATGGCTAAGAGATCCAACTTTTGCTCACTTTTTATTAAATAAATATCTCTTTTAAATCTCTCATAAATCTCTCATACCCTCACGAACACAATTTCTTAACTTATATATGTTTAGATTTTGATCATTTATTTATTCATTATGTGACTTGAATGAATTTTGATAGTTATTTTCATTTTACTCATGTCTTACTAAAACTGTGTGTTATATCTATTACATTTTTTTTATTATTTTATTATTTTACTTAATTAATATGTTATTATTTTTATAAATTACAACGCTGTATTTTAATATTTTTATGGACTTAAAGAATTATCATTTACGTGTTTTTTAAAATCCGGACACACTAGTTAGCAACCATAGCAATGTAAAAATCTCAAATATTATAGATTCAACTAAATGACAAACAAGATAGGTTTTTGTTACATCAATTATTTGGCAACGCCATACTGCCTACGCACTGACGCCGTAACTAATTAGTTGGACCATGATCACGACATCAAATGTGCAACAATCTCTCTGGCAATTAAACCCCAAAATAGAAGTAAAAATCCGCGCGTACAACACATATTCTGCGGCCGGCCGCTTCTTCACAGTTTTGCGGCACAATTTATCAAACTTCCCTCACAACAACATACAAACCATAACCAATTATAAATCGACACCACACAAATTAAGGGCACATTAGTAATCTCAAAAAACCAAAATACAACGTTTTACAAATATTTATGTGACATCTGGCAGCTGCAGAGAAAAGAGAGAGTAGAATATGCAGGGAATACAAAGTCTATCATTCCATATCTCTGTGCAATATAAGAAAGCTCCAAACAGAAAAATAGTAAACAAAAAAAAAAAAAAAAAAAGCATTTATCAGCGTGGAGACAACAAACATAACCTTACCATTACATTTCCTTTTATTTCTTTTAGATTGGATCTTAGTTGTCTTTAATCTCTTTATGTCCCATAGATTAATCAGCAAGGTACAGTAATCGTCAAAGTCCATTTGCAGAGAACTGGAAAGCTGTTCTTGAAGTGGAAAGGAAGGAAATGTGGGGATTGGGAGGTAGATATTATTGGGGAAGAAGGGAAATGAATAGAGAAGGGATAGTGGTGGTCTTTCCTTGGATGTCTAGTGAAGAAAGACATGTGAAAAGTTATGTTGACCTTTACGGGTCTCTTGGTTGGAATTCTCTTGTTTGTCACTCTCAATTCCTCAACATGTAAGTTTGTTTTTTTTTCCCCTTAGAATTGATTTTTTTTTGTGTTGATTACTGATACTGTTTTCTGGGTTTGATTGGGTTTGGCTGGGTTTATACGATTTCGATGTTTTGAGTTTGGTTGTTGGATATGCAGAAATAAGGGTTTTGGTTGAATTTTTCTTGTTTGGAGCTTATATGTTTTCGGATTATGCTGAATTTTAGTTTTTGATGAATTTTGTTACGATGTATAGTGAAGTATCAGGTAAAAAATGGAAACAGTTTAGCTAGATATGTGGAGTTGGAGATGAAGTGGGTCAATTTTTCTTGTTCTTCTTTATTGGTCCTAATATTTCTGACAATGGATGATAGCTTTATCTAAGAGTATTAGATGGGATCTGGTGGTTGAAACAGATCAAGATATAAATCTATTTGTTTTGTATGCTAGGAATGAATAGATTCTTTTCATAAGAACCGAATTCAGTGTGCATTTAAATGAAAAGAAAAATGGTGGGAGTAATTTAGAAGGACAGGCCGAGGCAACTAGGTTAATTTTCAATTTTTTTTCATGAAACAGTTTCCATATATTCTGCTGATTACTTCATGGGATTATCTGCACTTGCTGTAATAGGGAATTACTTACATTTCTCGCATTTACTTGCTGGTTCATGGCTGTGACACTACTGTACTCTTTTATTAGAGGGTTTGACTTCTGTATGTTACACGTGTTACCATGCTCTCTGTAAAGTTTTGTTGTTTTCTATATGAATGACTTCATGATATATAACGTCTGAAACTATATTCCTTGAACAAAAAAGTGGAAGTTTGCAGTGGCAAAGATTTGTATACACGTGCACAATCCATTATAATTTTGAACCTGGTATGTTATTTCTGTATTACTCTGCACAGGTTCTTTCCGGAGAAGGCTGAAGCTTTAGCATTTGACATGCTTAACACACTTCTTGAGGTCAGTATTATCTACTTCAACTCCTTCTCTGATGCATTAATTTCATATACCCGATAGATTTTATAAGACTATGATCTGGTGCTGCTTCACCTGCCTCGCACAGTTTCAAATGAGATCTAGTGTTGCCTTTGTACTCCACTTATCCTTTTTGGTTGCTGAAGCATTTGATCCTGGATTGGAATATGGCACTCTCCCTGAGGGCTAAGCCACGACTTGTGTACTACTGTAGCTCAAAATCCGTTGAGTATAATTATCCTGTAATTTGCTTGCTTCATTATTTGATATGCAGGAGCTAAAGATAAGGCCATGCCCAGTAGTCTTTGCTTCCTTTTCTGGTGGTCCTAAAGCTTGCATGTACAAGGTTCTTCAGGTAAACTACCTCATATACCTTTGGGTAACTGTCAGTGATGTATAATCTAACCCCTGTTTTAGTAAGAAGTAACCCAGGCAGTTTCTGTGGATGAGTGAATTCATTTTATTTTTCCATTGCAGATCATTGAGGGAAAGTGTGAAGTACAACGGAATCCTGTATGCCAGTCCTTTGCATGAGTTTGATTTCCTCTTTGTATATGTGGTCAAAACTATATGTTTTTATATTTTTCACTAGTTATTTTATGCAGTTTATGCTCATTTCTATTATTCTGTCTTGTTTTTGTTCTTTTTTTGCGTTTTCTCCATCAATAGGATGACTATCAACTGGTCAGAGACTGTATTTCAGGCCATATTTATGATTCTAGTCCAGTGGATTTTACGAGTGATCTGGGGAGACGATTTGTTGTTCACCCATCTGTTCTCAAAATGTCTCACCCACCAAGAATACTATCCTGGATGGCAAATGGAATTAGTAGCAGTCTTGATGCTCTCTTCCTCAACAGATTTGAATCACAGCGTGCTGAGTATTGGCAGACTCTGTACTCCTCTGTTGTAAGTACATGATAGCATGTTTCTATAAATTTGCTGTGCTGCTACTTTTTATTTTCTCTCTTTTAATTTAGTATCATTGTATTGCAGAGTATGGGGGGTCCATATCTAATTTTATGCTCAGAGAATGATGATCTTGCTCCTTATCAAGTCATTTGCAATTTTGCTCAAAGACTAAAAGAACTTGGTGGTGATGTAAAGCTTGTGAAAATGAATGGCTCTCCTCATGTAGGTATGTTTCTAACTAAATTTTTATGTTCAACCAGGACCATATTACAAGAATGTTGCTGCTGAAACCATTTTGGTGGGTTGCTTTGAATGGCACTCACATTTTAAAACCAAAGGGAGTTGTTTCATTTGTATTTTCTGGTTGAGGCACCCATGCATTAGGATGCATAATTTGATTTCAAGCATTTGTAGCTTGGAGGAGTTATTCAGTATACTGGAAGTAGTACTCCTCTCTCTTACATAAAGGCTGGACTCATGAATCATTTTCATGATGGGTCCATGGTTATGTGGAGGGGGAAGTACAACTCATAACATACCTTATAATTTCTCTATAACTTGATGCTTTGCGTGATGCCACTGGTATCTTTTTCACTTTTGGTAAAAGTGTTGAAAATCCCTTTGATTCCCATTAAAGTCAATGTTCTGACGAACGTGCTCCTTTGTCTAATTTTGTATGCTACACTATCAACATTCAATTTTGAGACTGCAAATGGATATTCTGTTATTGGAACAAGTGCTATCATTTTACAGAATTGCATAATATATTAAATTAAATGTGGCCACTAAGTAAATATTTACTATGCTCAAACTTGATGTGTTAGTTTGTTTGCCAGTCTTTATTTACCATCTTGATACTTGACGAAACTTTGACCACCTTCTTTTAAGAGTTCTTAGATTGTCTCTATGCTTCTCATCTACTTTGTACTAACATATTCAGATGCTCTCCATGTGAATTGTTGTAGGTCATTATCGATTTTATCCAGTTGACTACAAGGCTGCTGTGACTGAGCTCCTTGGTAAGGCAGCTGCAATTTATTCCCAAAGAATTCAACGGCTTGAAGGTGAAAGGATGGGTTTTGAGGGGACACCTGATGAGATCTCCGCGCCAATTAGTGACCTGAGGAAAGCAGCTATCAATCCACACCATAGCTTTCGAGGAGTTACTATCGCACCAAGTGATCATTGCTTTATGCCAAGCGCAGTAGAATATTATGAGGGTAGAGATGGGTCCTTGCAAGATGAACACAAGGAAAGTTTGGTTCATTTGCGAACTCCTCCTACTATCAATCCGCATGGAGTTCTTGGTCAAATCCTTTTTGATGTCTGTGTTCCCAAGAATGTTGAAGGTTGGGATTTAAAGTTATCAACTTCCTTGAGCAGACACCCATTTAATCCCACGCGAAGGCATGCTCCATTTAATCCAATGAAATGCATACGCCGTTCAAGACTGTAACAGCTCTCACTGACAACCTAGATGCGGAGATCTTTCATGTGAATGTGCGAGATTCAAATTTGGTGTGAAGCCTTGGCTTTGAGGTTTCCAAAGAGGCAATGCTTTCATCATCCTAAAAGAATAAGCGTGAGGGCCGAGGGGTTTGAGCTTTGGGGTGTATTATCTGTAAAACTTACTTGTCCCCTGATGAACTGTACAGTAATTCTACTTGCAGCACATAATTTAATACGAAGTTTATTATAGATCATTATAAGTCTCTGGTGCAAATATGTAAATCCACTAATTCCCCGAGTTAACTCTCCCAACTCATTATTGCGGTAGAAAGCTCCCCTTGCAAACTACCAAAAAGGAATTTCATTTGGGGCAGAATAAAATTCACACGAGTTGGCCATATAGTCAGTGGACTTTAGGGGAAATAAAATAAAATAAATAAATCGATGAGGTAAAGACATTTTTATATTTTAGCTCCTATTCAAGTAGTGGTTTGGTACTCTTGCAGGAGTCTCAAGATAGCGCACCACACGAAGATCAGTAATCGAACGAGATGTCGTCTACTCGTCTCCATTAAATGTACACAAGATCTAAAGACAAGCTTTGATTACTGATAAGAGAACTATTTCCTTCTCACGATCAGTATAATAAGGATAGGCCAATAAGAACTCTTTAACCTTTAAAACTATCTTCTTAGCGTGACAAGAAGTAAATTTATTCTTAAGTTACAGGTTTAAAAGAAATAATAATTAGTATGCTTTTTATCTTGACTCAATGGATAATAATAATTATTTTTTTTATAAGACAATGGATTATTATTATTATTATTATGGTTTTTTAATTATAAAAAAATGGATAATTATTATTGCATTTTTTTTATAAAACAATGGATAATTAATCTAAATGTTCCTTAATGAGTGCTCCGTGCCACTGCTAGCTTTATCATTGATGGTTGTGATCTAATACTCACAACCAGCTAGTCTATTTACCTGGCGGGGATTATCTCGTTAAAATGCTGATTTGATTTCCATAAATAATAAAAGGATAATTATAGAAGTATTTAATTTTTTACAATATTTTTTTTTATAAGGTGATTAGGAACTTGGTATGATGAAAAATTTTCAAATTATAAAATGTGAATCTTTTCGTTTTTAACAATACAATGATATCATTTAGTAAAAGAATCTTGGGTTTCGTTTGTTTGTTGGAAAGTAAATTTCATAATAAGCTAGAAATAATATTTTTGAGTTATTAATTTTTTGTAAAATCGTAGAATCTTTAAGTTTTTCAATTTTAATTTTAAAAACCTTATTTATACATTGGTAAATAAATTACAACGAAATAAATGAGTTTATTTTATTTTTTTAGTACATGAACAATATTAATTTTATTATTTAATTTCAATCAATTTGTTTTGAGTTTCATTCTTAATATTATTTCTTTAATTTTTAAAATTCCTTAATTTAACCAATATTTTTTTCTAAATAGTTGTTAAGAGCATTTTGGATATAATGGGAGAGTTTTTTTTTTTTTCAGATCTGCAAACTTTTAGATTGATATTACAATTTACTCAAAAATCAATTATATAAGTCAACATATAATATACAAATTGAAAAGTATTTTCCATAACTCAAATAAAATATGTAAATATAAATATTCCATGAGTCTAATAATATATAATTTAATTATTATTTATTTTATAATTCATGTTGACAGTGAAATATTTTAAAACAATAAGAAAACAAATAAGCAAAAGAAAAGTATATAAAAACTAATAAATAACTTTCAAAATAGTTTAGAATGGCTATATTTAGACATAAATACATAAGTATCATAACGTTAACATGCAAAATTCAATAACATATAAAATGGAAAGTGTTTTCCCAAATTTTAGAGAGGAAAACATTTTCCCCTCTCGAAGGTTTTTGTTTTCCTTTGATTAAAAAATATTTTTGGTACACTTATTTTTCATGATTAAGCGTGAGTATTCAGATTTTTAGTTTTGGTTTTCAACATTTCTGTTTAGTTTTGGGTTAACTGAACTCATCAAAAGAAAAATCTATTCAGATCTAAATTTCGATTCTGCTTTTCAGTTTATGAAATCAAAATTTTGAGTTTTCAGTAAAAATTAATTTTTTATTTTTTGAAAAATAATGTAAACAAGCCACAAAAATTGTTTTATAAACTATGAAGTCATTCATTTAGCCCAAATGGTCTAAATTAATCTATATGAGAGATAATAAATACTTATTTAAATAATACCAAAACACAAAATCATATTATATAATAAGGCATCGGAATCAAATATAACTTTACTATTTCACATCTAAAACTTTTAATGATAAAAATTCATTGATTGTTCACACAATAAGTGAACTGAACTACCAAGGTCCAAATAATAATCAAAATTCAAACATGTTCATACATATATCAGTCCCTGATAAAAAAAGAAAAATGAATTAAAAATACTAAAAACTGAACTAAAATCAAATAACCAAAATCAAATTGGTTCATCAAGGTAATATTTTTGTTTCGTTGAAAATAAAATGTCTTAGTAATGCATCTTTATTGTGTCGTTTATAATTGAGAATTCATAAAAAATACAAACAAGTTTACTATTTTACCTTCAATTTTTAAAGCATCTAATCTGATAATAGGATATTTGTTTATTGTTAATATAAACACTTGTATTACTTTGTGTTTGAAACTAATGTATTGAAATAAATCCAACAATAAATTTAATTTTATAACATTATTATTATCGAGTAAAATAATACACAATCCAGCAAATTACATAACATAAATAATATATTAAATATTTTGGTATTAAAATATTAATTATTTAAATAATATACTAGCCTCTTAAAATATTTGTATAATTATTAGTAAAAATAAAGATTCCATGAAATTTAAAAATTCTCTGTAATTTAAGATACATTTACTTAACAAAAACAAAAAAAACTTACATCTCAAATGACTTGTTCAGAAAAATCTCAAACGTAGGCTAACCGTCGAATTGCAAAGTGCAGACTCTAGGGGACTTATTTCACTCTTCATGTGTGTACTGTGTACCTAAAAGCAAACCAAAACCTCCTGAAAAGAGACTATGAAGACCGTGGTGACTGGTGCATCCGGTTACTTAGGCGGGAGACTCTGCCACTCCCTCCTGAAACAAGGACACTCCGTCCGCGCCTTGGTCCGTCGCACCAGTGACATCTCCGAGCTTCCTCCGCTCTCCACCAACGGAGCCTTCGAACTCGCCTACGGTGACATTACAGACTACCAGTCCCTCCTGGATGCCTTCTCTGGTTGCCACGTCATCTTCCACGCTGCTGCTATCGTCGAACCCTGGCTTCCAGATCCTTCTAAATTCTTCTCCGTAAGCACACCTTTGACTTCATAGTTTCTCACTGAATTGAAGAAATGAAAAGATAATAATAAAAATTAATTGCTGTGTTAATTTTTGTTAGGTTAACGTAGAAGGATTGAATAATTTGTTACAAGCAGCTAAAGAGACAGAGACAATTGAGAAGATCATATACACGTCGTCGTTTTTCGCACTTGGATCCACTGATGGATATGCTGCTGATGAGAGCCAAGTAATTAAGAATTATAACTATTTCGGTTTTAGAATTAATTAATTTCCCCCATTTGAATCGAATTTTTGTGATTACAGGTGCATTGCGAGAAGCGTTTCTGTACGGAATACGAGAGGTCAAAGGTGACTGCTGATAAGATTGCCGTACAAGCTGCGGTGGAGGGGGTGCCGATAGTGATGCTTTACCCTGGTCTTATATATGGTCCAGGGAAGCTCACTACTGGTAATATCGTTGCTCAATTGGTAAGATCATTGTTTGCTTTTCTTATTTTTTGATTTTGAAATTTTACTTGATTGTTGAAGTCCTAGTGGTAGCTTGGAGCGATTGAGACCAGTGAATAGATAGGTCAATCGAGGTTAACTGTATGCTTCTCTTGTTAGGTTTCCTGATATGGTTTATGATAAATTAAAGATGACATTGATTTAGGTGAGAAATGAGGTTGCTACCTGCCTTTTTTAAAACATAGGTGATTGTAATGCCATAATGGTATTGAAAATTGTTAGAGAATAATATAAATCATGACTTCGGACCTCACCTAGTAGCTTAAGCTTTTGGGTTGAGATGGTTTTTTGACATGATATCATAGCCTTGCGAACCTAACGGTCAAGAGTTTGAATCCTACTAGCTCTACTTTCTTTTCTAATTAATTAAGCACAAGATAGTATGGATCTGTGCAAGTTTCAAGCCTCGTTTGAGGAGGTGTGTTAGAAAATAATATAAATCATCCTAGGACCTCATCTAATATCTTAAACTTTTGGGTTAAGATGGTCCTTTGACAAAAATCACTGGCTACCGAATCTGTTACTGTTACTTGTCACATATTTTGTTTAACCAGGAGTAATGATTTTGATAGAGTGGGAATGGTTAGCTAGATGTTATTTGTTGATATTTGATATTCTTCATTCTGGTCTGTCAATGTAGTGCGTTATGCTTTTTTTTTTTTCGATAATTGAGCAACTTTTCTTAGCATATTGGATATTTGTTTGCACATTTGTTGGAATACATGCAACTCATATATAGTTGGAGCATTTACTTGATGATATGCTGTTTCGTTTGGTCTCTCTGATTCTCGATAAGAATAAAAACCTATGCTTACTATAATAATATATACATATCACTTTGATTTTTTTACACCTTGGTGTCTTAATGCATTCTTGGAGTTCATTGGAGATCCCAATTACTTCTGTACTTGCTTGGTGTTTGGTGTCATTACCTTCAAGCCGGCAGTGCTGGTTTATAAGAACCTCTGTTGGCATCTAAATGGGGATAATCATTTAATGGAGTCATTAATTACATGACCACTACGAATTTGTGCCATAACATGTGTATCTGCATGATGCATTTGCTTAACGAATAAAGGAATTTAATGTTTCATAACTTCATAATCTCAGCTGATCGAACGCTTTGCTGGACGTTTACCAGGATATATAGGCTATGGGAACGATAAATTTTCCTTTAGTCATGTTGATGACGTGGTAGATGGTCACATTGCAGCAATGGACAAAGGTCAACAAGGTGAAAGATATCTGCTTACAGGAGAAAATGCATCCTTCAAGCATGTTTTTGATATGGCTGCTATTATCTCTGGAACAAAAAGGCCATGGTTTAGCATTCCTTTATGCGTAATTGAGTTTTATGGATGGGTATTGGTTCTTGTCTCTCGACTTACAGGAAAGCTTCCTCTCATTAGCCCCCCGGTATGCCCCATTGCTTCCACTACTCACTCAGTTCTGGCCCTGTTATTCGTTTGGTTTATCATTTGTTTTATTTATCAAGTTGGCTATCGAGATACTTTTTGGATATCTGACTCTATTCTTTCTTTATTTCTATGAGCAGACTGTGCATGTTCTAAGACACCAGTGGGCATATTCATGTGAGAAGGCAAAGGCAGAGCTAGGTTATAATCCTCGAAGCTTGAAACAAGGACTGAAAGAGTTCCTTCCATGGTTGAAGAGCCTTGGGGTGATCAAATACTGAGGAATGCTTGTTGGAAAATGTATTGTTGCCTTGCACGCTTCAGTTCTCCCTTTCGATAGATTAGATTTTTTATTTTTTTATTTTTTTATTTTTTGAGAATTGATAGTTTAGACGCAAATATCATTTGAAACTGTCTTTTAGTTTACTTTGAAAGGCTTCCTCAAAGTTGAATATGCTATTTCCATTTCAATAAGATGGCATTTGGTTCGCTGAATGTTACTTTCTTCTTTAAAATCACTCTCCCGAAAAAATGATTTTCTAGGAAGCGACTGGGGAATTTAATATTTTTGTGCTTGCTTAATAGGATTTCTAGAAAGATGGAGCATCATTTTTGTGTTTGTTGTTTTCTTGAGAATTTTAAAGTAAATTACTGTCGTATCCTTTACCATGGTCACATAATAAGTTCTTGTTATTCCAGCTATACGAGTTGCATGCATTCCAACAAATGTGCAAACAAAACATCCAAAATGCAAAGAGAAGTTGCCCGAATTTTTTTTATCGACAAATAACATGTAGCTACCCATTCCCACTCTATCAACGTCATTATTCATTTATTGAATTTTTTACATCCCCTAGTGTTAAACATTGATTTGATTTAAGGGTATTTTTCAGATATATGTTATCTTCTATCAAAATATTTTTACTGCTACCAATCCTTTTCATTGTTCTCGTTAATCTAATTACCAAAAAAAAAAAAATACCAGCTATGACTGGAGGAGTTCCTTATCTTATTAAAGCAAGGAGAACAATAAGGATTTCGCACAAACCAATTGCCAACAAATAACTCTTTATGACTTAAAATAATAATCTTCTTTTGACTTTTCATATCAACAAACTTATTAATTATAATGTCATATCAATATTTTTTAATAATAATTTTTTATTTTTTATTTTAAAAAATCTATTTAATTTAATCATACTTTGCAAAATAAAAATACTTTTTTAAAAAAATTCAGTATTTAAATCTTTGATGATAATAGAAAAATATTTTAAAATAAATATTAAATAAAAAACAAGACAATCTTTTTGTAACTAAAACTTATCTATTTACAAGGTACACTGATCAGATGGTCAGCAATGTCTAAGAAAAGTTAAGGTAAATTATGTTATAGTAATACTATACCTCCCAATTTTTCAAAGATTAAAATGCAACACCTGTACCATTTCACATAACACACAATATTTTAAATTTTTCTGTCAGGCTCTTTCCATAAATAATGTTAAATTTATTACAAAAGTGCCATTGAGCACTTGGTAATAGTAACTTAATGACCAGATTGCTCCCACCAGCCCACGTCGTGTTTATTCGTCCAGCCCAAACAGCTCGTTAGACGACATGTAGTTGGCTGTGTCATCTTCTCCAAAAACCACTCGAGATTTGACTCCATAGCTTGCCCAGTTCCTCGTCATTCCCTGAAAGCTCAAGAATCAAAAACACAAAAGTACAAATGCAAGCCACAAATGATAACAAAATTTGACACCCATATGTCAATCTGTTTAATATAATTTTTTTATAACTAATTCAGTACTAATATTAGTTTCTAATCAAAAGAATCTTTGCTAGAACCGAGTTATTTTGCTTTAAAACCAAAGATCTTTGCTGGAAATTTAAACTAATTAAACTACACTACAACCAAATAATAAGCTAATTATCGTTGCACGTCTCAAAACCAAGAAAAGAAAAAGAATATTTTTGAAGCAATTTAACAAATCTCGAACTCAATAGATACGCATCAGGTACATAGGTATGCATGTTTTAGTCTCATAATCATAATCAAGTCTTGTTTTGATGCAACTATATTATAGAACCTACAAAACTGTTTTGCAGGATTTTAAATGACAGTGACAGGGTGGCTGGCTCTTACGTGGAAAGTATCTTCATGCAAGGTTACATGGTGAGGTGGCAGTTCTTACGTGACCATTGGCAGTTGTTGAATTGGTTCCCTAAGTTAGTTATAGTTCGTTGGAGACTGCAGGAGTGTGAGTTGTTATCTGTTAGAGAATTAATTAGCACGAGAGGAAAACCGTTATAAGAGAAGGGAAGATCATTGTTGATAGTCTAGGCAAATAATTGTTTTCCTTGTCTTTCTATTTTCTCTCACATTCTTCTTTTCTACTTTTTGCGTTTTTCTTGTAACAACGACGGATTTCTTTACAGCTTTTGTTAATTCATAGAATCACATCATTCTATGATTGCATTGCAGCAAGTTATTTTTTTATTCAATAAAGCTAAAAATAGATTTTATTCTTGCATCTTGTTTGTTTGTTTCTTAATTGCTAGAATTTTGATTACATCAATTGATATCCGAGCTGATTCTCATACTGTGGAGCATTAATATGACATTAATCATGGTAAAAGATAATGTTGATCTTAAGAAGATGGAGTAATTTATTGTTGCGATCACAAAAATAATCACTAACCTTATAAAAAGACGTGATTCGATTTTTATATAGCATGATTAAGATATTGATAAATTAAAAGAATTAGTTATTATACTTAAAATTCAAATCCAAGAGAGAGAGAATGGCAATTTTAAAGGGGAATTAGGAAGTTTTAATGACATAAGTTAAAGAGTTCCTAAAAATGGTTATCCGATGAATGGAATGAACATTTGATTGATGAATGATAACGGTGCGAGAAGATAATATGAGATATACTTTCAATAATAGAATGTCTAGAATGGAATTTCTAAGGTTTTTTAGAGATGACTTTGAAGGATGAACTTTTAGATGTGAAAAGTTTTTCATGATTGATAAAACTCATAAGGATGCTAAGTTGAGTTTTGCTATGGTTTTTAGTGATCTTAATGGGAATAAAACAAACTAATGTCTAATCCTTCTTAAGAAATTAATTTTTATTGTTAATAGGCTAGTTCTACTTGAGAACTATATCATTAGTTGCTTTATTGGTGGCTTAAAACTTGAGTTATAAATTTCAATTAGGGTGATGAAACCAAAAACTCATAAAGAGACAGTACCTCTAGGTAAGTTGCATAAAACTAATCTAAACATTCAATGTAGTTCTAATAGATTCGACGCTAGAATTTCTTCTCTGTTCAATTAAAAACCCAAACACAAGCCCTTTACTTTTCAATCCGAGACTAAACAACAACACTACTTGCAAACATATAAAATTTTCAAGTCAAAATTTTTTTTAGTAAACCACTACAACGACACTACTAATAACCAAAAAGGTTTGTTACCTTTACCATCTCAATTTCAGCATGGTAATCGGGTTTTTAAAACCATAAGGCTTCCTATTAACAAAGAACTTAATAAAAAAAAAAAAAAGTTAAGGAGACAATGTTATTTTTGTGCTGAAAAATATGCTTCGGATATAAATATAAGAAAAGACATCTTCATGTTAGAAGTAGAAGAAAATGAAATTGACAATGGTGAAAATAAGATAGTAGAGGAGGAAGCCTTTGAGGATGAAACACAAGATATAAGGAAGTATATTGAAAAGTTATATTAGATATCGAAATATATAGTTTTTGGTGGAGATAATTATCAAACTATGAAAGTTATAGGGAATTTAAGAGGTAAAAGGATGCATATTTTGATAGACCCTACTATACACATAATTTGATGGATTTGAGGTTTGGAAGGAGGAATTAGTATAAGTTAATTAAGATTGAGTTGGTAACGGTAAAGGTAGGTGATAATGGTGATATTATATATGAATACATTTGTAAAAACTTTAAATAGAAAATGCAAAGAGAAAATTTTGAAACCTCAACTTTTGTAATGCATTTAGGCTTATGTGAGATGATTTTGGGAGTAGCCTAACTATTTGCACTATGGGATATTGATTGAAATTTTAAACATATGTGAATGGGGTTTAAGAATGATGAGAAATTGTTCTTACTATAAACAAATGTGTAAACAATAACGAAGAAGCGAGAATTTGACGGACTTAATTGGATTTAGTTGAGTCCTTTTTATTGAATATGAGGAGATAGAAGTAGAAAATTATGGAATATAAATAGATCAACAAGTTTCATTGGAATTAAGGATAATGTTAAAGCTATTTGATGATATATTTGCGGAACCAAAAGGATTACCTCCGCAAAAGGATGCATGATCATAGAATAATACTTAAGGAAGGATTTGAACTTGTAAGTATGAAACTTTATAGATATCTCTTTATTTAAAAGGATGATATAGAATAACAAGTTAAGAGGATTTTAGAGAATGGAATTATTAAAACCAGTATCAATCATTTCTCTTCTTTTATGGTATTAGCAATGAAAAAAATAATACATGAAGAATGTGTGTCGACTATAGGAGGTTGAATCAGTTGACCATCAAGGACCAATTCCAATGATTGAGAAACTTTTGGGTGACCTATAAGGATTGTGTGTGTTTTTAAAATTGGATTTATGAGCTGGTTATCACTAGATTAAAATGAATATTTTGGATATACCAAAAATGACTTTTAGAACTCATAATAAACACTATGAGTACTTAGTTGTGACGTTTGGACTAACTAATACTCCTAGTACTTTTTAGTCTCTTATGAATGATGTTTTTAGACCTTGTTTATGGAGATTCATCTTCTTCTTTTTTATGATATTTTGGTTTTAAGTAAAAATCTACATGGATATGTTCCTCATTTGGAAAATGCATTATCAATCTTAAGGAAACATATTTTATTCGCTAAAAAATCTAAATGTACCTTTGGAACTACAAAAATAGAATACCTAAGACATTACATCTCCGAGAAAAGCATCTAAAGTTATCCTAAAAAAATTAAGGTTGTGTAGCAGTGGTCAATACCTAAAAATATTAAACAATTAAAAGGATTCTTTAGACTCATTGGTTGTTATAGATGCTCTGTAAAGAATTATGAAAGATAGTTAAGCTCTTAAATTGTTTTCATAGTTAAGCTCTTAAATTTTTTTCATAAGGTTGTATTTATGTGGAATCTATTGGCAAAAGCAGCTTTTTTAGAGGTAAAACAAGCTATGATAACGACTCTTGTACTCGGCATTACCATAATTACAAGAGGAGTTTGTTATATAGATAAATGCAATTGGCATGGGAATATGGACTATACTAATGCAAAAATGTTATCTAATTGTCTACATCGATAAGCAGTTTTCCCCTAATCATCACTTTTTATCAGTTTATGAGAAAGAATTAGTTGTAATATTGTTTGTTGTTAAGAAATAGCTCTCTATTTGGTTAACAAACACTTCATTATTAGAACCGATCTTTAAAGTCTTAAACATTTGTTAGATCGGAAAATACACATTGTTAATCAATTTGATTGTCGAATATGGATCTGTGAGATTGTTTATAAAAAAGAAAAAAAGAACATAGTGGCAAATGCTTTGTCTTAGGTGTAAATGTCTACAATGGTTGTTTCTTCAATTTTTTCTATGTTAATGGACAAAATCAAAGCTTTTTGGAGCTCATACCCTACATTAGCAACAAACATATCATAGTTGCAAGTTCCATAAGGTGTTAATTCAAAATATAGTTTGCAAGATGAATAATTAAGAAGGAAAGGTTAGTGATAGGTAGAGATTTAGATTTGCATAAAGAATTAATTTTTTATTTTCATGATTCATTCGTAGGAGGCCATTATGGAGTAAAAGTTACTGTTAAGAAGTTGACCTCATTGCTTTACTAGAAGGGGTTGGCTAGAGAAGTGAGGGAATATGTTAAGAATTGTCCAACATGTCAAGATTGTAAATACAAAAATATGGCTAATCCAAGGTTGTTAAATTCATTACCTTTTCCTTAAGCTATTTTCACTGATATTACTATGTATTTCATTGAAGTGTTACCTTTATCTCAAAGTAAATTTGTTATATTTGTGGTTATGAATCGATTGATAAAGTATGCACACTTTATGTCTTTGGCTCATCCATACATTATAGTTCGGTGGCTAAGGTCTTTATGGACAAGTTTATAAACTTCATGGATTGCCTTAAAATATTATTTTGGACAAGGATTTCATATTCCTTAATAATTTTTGGAGGAAATTGTTTGCTTATGAAGGGGTATCACTCAAGTTCTCCACCACCTATCGTTCACAAATAGATGGACAAACAAGAGTTGTTAATATGTGCTTGCAAACTTATCTCAAGTGCATGACTTCTTCTCTTTCTAATGCATGATGTAGATGGTTATGCATAGCTTAATACTAGTATAATACTTCATTTCACACATCTACAAAGCAATCTCAATTTGAACATCATATGAATGTCCTTTTCTCTTACATTTACCGTATTAGCCAAATGATTGTAAGGAAGTAGAAGTAAATGAGTTTCGTAGAAAAAAAGAATGTTATTGCCTTACTCAAGAACCATTTAACTAAGGCACAAAGATATATGGAGTTACAAGTTGATAAAGAAAAGTCTAAAGGGTTTTCAAATTAGGGATTGGGTGTATCTTAAATTGCAAGCCTATAGGCAACGTGATTGTGGTACTCGGAAAGAATTAGAAGTTATCATCCAAGTATTATGGCCTCTATAAGATCATTGACAAAGTTGGTGAGGTTGTTCGTACTTTCTAACTACCTTCTAGTTCACTCGATTCATTTCACTTGTCACGTTTTACAACTTAAGCTCGTTCACAACGAGTGTATCGAGCTCAAAATGAGTTACCGGAATCACTAAAGCTATCTATAACTCTCATAGCCAATTTAGATAGGAAAATAATGAAGAAGGAAAATCAAGCGACTATTAAGTTATTTATATAGTGGTAAATAGAACACACTTGGATGCTACTTAGAAATTTACGTTTGATATGGCCAAACATTTTTCTCATTTTAACTTTGATGACAATGTTGTTTGAGAGTGAGAGTATTGATGCAACTATATTAAAGAAGCTATAAAATTGCTTTGCAAGATTTTAAATGATAGTGACAAGGCAATTGGCTCTAATGTGGAAATTATTTTCATATAAGGTTTTATGGTGAGGTGGCACATCTTATATGGCCATTGGCGATTATAGAATTAGCTCACTAAGGCTATTGTTGTTAGTTACGGTTTGTTAGAGACTTCGAGAGTATAAGTTGAAGTTTGCTAGAAAATTAGTTAATATGAGAGAAAAATTGTTATAAGAGAAAGGAGGATCATTATTGATAGTTTAGATAAATATTTGTTTTGCTTCTCTCTATAGATTTCTCTTTTTTTCTTATTTTCTTCTCTATGTGTTCTTTTTGTAATAGTGATGAATTTCTTTATAGTTCTTGTTAATTTATAGATTCATTTCATTGTAACAATTTGTTTTTGATTCAATAAAGTTAAACAAAGATTTCATTCTTAAATCTTATTTATTTGTTTTTTAATTGTTGAAATTTGGATTGCATCATATTTTTTGAAAATTGTTATATTACACAGCGGTCATACAATATTGTCAATTTTGAATGCAAATCCAATGGAAAAAAAAAAGGTTATAATTTATAAAATTAATTAACTCTCTGCTAGTAAAAACCATAATATAAAAGGTGTATTTGTTTCTTCAAATACTACAAGAGTATTAAGAAGCATATGCATCTATTCTGCCACAAACGATGAGTAAATATGCCCGAAGAGTTTTATGAAAGATCTGTAGGCAAGCAACAAGAACTCATCGAATTATGAAGTATTGAGGCACCTTTCGCCAAATCTCGTCGGATTTTGGCCAAAATCAAGGTGATGGACGGATTGTGATGAAGTTTGACGGTGGTGGCTATCCCTCTTTCTCGAGTGGTGGCTTCTCTTTCTGGGATCAGAAAAGTACGAGGATTTTGTGTTTGATTTGTGTTGGATTTTAAGGTTAGCATAGGGGAAGGGTGAGAATCTTGCGGGTGGAGGAGGGATTGGGTTCATAAAGGCTATTACTTATATAGGGGTAATTATGTCTTTTCAATCCATTTCCTTTTAGATTAGTGCTCTTCCTTTTAAGCTTATCATCTGGGAATAATAGCAACGCTAAATAAAAAAAAAAGGCCTTTTCATTATTGGTGATTAAATTTGAAAGTGCAAGTTGCTTAAAAGTCAACTCTAATAGTTTTCACCAATAAAATCCAAACTACAGGGCCAAAAGCCTAAACAGAAACATCACTGCAATTACACCCGTACTCCGCAAATTTTTCCCACCATTAGTTTTCGTCGAGAATGAAGAAGGTAGTGGTGACCGGCGCATCCGGTTTTGTAGGCGGGAGATTGTGCCACACCCTCCTTAAACAGGGACACTCCGTCCGCGCGTTAGTCCGCCGAACCAGCGACCTCTCCGCCCTCCCTTCGCCCTCTAATGGTGAGACATTCGACGTCGCCTATGGCGACGTTACGGACTATCGGTCGCTCCTGGATGCTTTCTCCGGTTGCCAGGTGATCTTCCATGCCGCTGCCATCGTCGAGCCCTGGCTTCCAGATCCTTCTAAATTCTTCTCTGTAAGCACGTCCCGTCCACCTTGAATTTCCACTTCTCCATTTTGTATTGGAAGTCAGTGAACTGATAAATGAAAGAACAATATTAAATATTGTGTGAATTATTTTTGTTAGGTTAATGTAGGAGGATTAAAGAATGTGGTGCAAGCAGCTAAAGAGACAAAAACGATAGAGAAGGTTATATACACTTCTTCAATGGTGGCCCTGGGATCAACTGATGGATATATTGCTGATGAGAGCCAAGTAAGTATCACTATTTGATTTCAACTTATTCCCCAAATCGATTGATTTGAAATTGAATAGCATTAATCTTTAAAAAATTGGGCCATTGGATTTATGGGATCACGCATTACTAAAAGTGGGATTCACTCATAAAAAATGAACAAATTTTTTCGAGAGAATATTAATTTATGATTATGGTTGTTACAGGTACATCACGAGAAGTATTTCTATACAGAGTATGAGAGATCAAAGGCAGCTGCTAACAAGGTTGCTTCACAAGCAGCAGCAGAAGGATTGCCAATAGTGACACTTTATCCTGGAGTTGTTTATGGCCCTGGGAAACTCACAACTGGTAACGCAATGGCTAAAATGGTAAGATCGTCAACTTGTTAAACTTTGCCATATGTTTTTGAGACGACTCAGTAATGTTTATGAGCGAGCATTGGATATATCTGGCCGGTTTTGGCCAAAAAAATTTCAATCATGAAATTATAAAAATTTGAAAATTTGAACCGAATCAAACCGACCTGATTTAATAAACAGTCATTTTTGGTTTGATTTAGCTATTTTTCAACTCAAACTCTGGTTATCCATTTGGAGAGACCTTATGGAAAAGAATGTGAATAAATAAAGTCATCGATGGGAAACCTAGTTAACCTTATGTTTTATCCGGTCCAAACCAAGTTTGACTGGGGCCCTATCCAAAACTACAGGTCATTTCGGTTGTATCATCTTTTTTAAAGTTGCACCCCAGAAGCGAATAGATCGATGCATATTATGCAGATTTTCAACTGAACTGACCTGGAACACTTAAAATCTGAATGGGTTGGTTCGGTTTGGTTATGCTGGTTATACTGGTTTTTTTTTTTTTTGCTCACAGGGATAATATTTCTGAATAGATTTTTTAGTGTGATTGGTCCTTTCTGAAGATAGGCCACCCCTATGCAATTCTCTTCGGACATGGGATCTGCTTTTTTACACCACTAACCGCTTTAATAACCATTTATTGGATTCCATGATGCACCATGAAGTTGGTCCTTTATTTACTGCTTATTCAATGCCTTGGTGTACCTTTGTAGCGATTTTACCCTCCAATAAATATACTGAAGCCCTTGTTGCCTTTAGCTAAGAACACGCTTTGGCATCTAATTATGGATGCTAGTTTGCTGGATTCTTCCCATAATAAAAAGGAATCTTGTAAATTTTCACATGTTTCCTTAAAATGCGTATGCTTGACCTATAGCAGATTGTGATGGTTCTTAGATTTGCCATTTCAGTTGATTGATCGATTCACTGGACGTTTACCGGGATATATAGGGTGTGGAAATGATAGGCTTTCCTTTTGTCATGTTGATGACGTAGTTGGAGGTCACATTGCAGCAATGGACAAAGGTCGATTGGGTGAAAGATATCTACTCACAGGAGAAAATGCATCATTCTCACATGTCCTTGATATAGCTGCTATCATCACTAGAACCGAAAAGCCAAGGTTTAGCATTCCTTTATGGGTGATTGAGGTTTATGGATGGCTATCGATTCTTATTTTTCATTTTACAGGAAAGCTTCCACTTATATGTCCACCGGTATGCCCCATCTTTTCCACTAGTCAGTTCTGATCGTATTGTTTCACTGCTGTATATATCTATTGTTTGACAGCTAATTTGGTAATCAAGAATTCGCCCTTTGATATCTGAATCCATTTTATTGAGTTTTCCTGGAGCAGAGTGTACATGTTCTGAGACACCAGTGGGCATATTCTTGCGAGAAAGCCAGAGTAGAGCTGGATTACAATCCTCGAAGCTTGGAAGAAGGACTAGGTGAATTGCTTCTCTGGTTGAAGAGCTTAGGGGCGATAACATACTGAGTAACAACTGCCTTCTGTTGAAGTTGGGTTGCTGCCTTAAGCTGTGTGCGTCTCTCGTTTAGTAAATTAGTTGTTGTTCATATCACATTCTCAGGCTCGTTACTAAATCACTTCTTCTAAGCGTAATTTAAATTATCATCTGTTGAAAAAAGATCAATGTACTAGAAAAGCAGCACAATTACAATCTCTCCACACTATTGGATCCAGTCACTATGTAACGACAGCTTTATAATTCTAGTGGAACAAACAACCAAAACTTTGAAAACTCTTGCGTTGCGTTAATTTAGATTTTATCTGGTTTCAGCTTTATAATTTCATGTCTTCTCCCCCTCCTTCTTTCCCCTTTCTTTCTTTGGAAGTTAATAGGGAAGCCACATAAGCAGTCGTGAGTCTAATCTGTAATGTCCAGTTGGGTATTCATCCGAAGTGAAGATTAGTCATGCATGCGGAAATGGAAGTTGGGAAGCCAAGCTGGATAAAGGAAACCAAATTGACTAAAATGGACTAAAAGCGCCCGCACCTCATTTTTGCTAGTAATACAGAAGCGAAGTTGCAAGAGAGGTTGCCTTTAGTACAGGAAAATGAAATGCTTAATTGTTATTACACCTCTTAATCCTTATTAAGTTGATCCCTGTGATTGTTTGGTGGTAAAAGGTCCGGACAAAATAAATGAATGATAAAAAGCCAAGTAAGAAAAGTAGAAAACAATACCGCTTAGATGGGTGCCTAAAGAGTTGTGGGTGCACGTTTTTTCAAGTCGAAAAATAAAAAAACAAACAACAGCAATTAGCGTGACCCCATTGTTAGCCAATTAGATTCCACCTGTGACCTAGCTGCCCCCCATCTGTGACACTATCAGTACTCGTAATGTGTGGGAACTCAACGGTCGACTTCACTTGCCCTAATTGACACAGTACAGGAGTCCCCCAATTTCAAATTTCTCTCCTCCCCCGCTCTCTCTCTCTCACATAACTGCGCCTCAAACTTCAAAGAACCGAAGAATAAAATCCTAGCAATCAGCCCTTTTGATTCTGCTGTAAAGATGGTGGCAGAAATATCAGCATATGAAGAATGTCGCCAAAAGAGAATGGAAGAGAACAAGAAAAGAATGGAAGTCCTCAATCTCCACAAGCTTTCTCAAGATCTTAAAAACTCCTCTACCAAACCCTCTCCGGTTATTAATTAATTTCCTCTAGAACTCCCTCTCCCTTTATATGTGTGTGAATCTTTATTGTTATGATGCTCATTCTATTTTTGCTTGATTAACAGAGTAAACGTGCAAAAACTCGAGTAGTTGAGAAACAAGTGGTTGTGGTTAGGAGGTCCAGTCGTGTCGCAAACCAACCTGCTCCTTTTTATAAAGAAGTAAGCCATTAGTTTCATTTGGGCTAATAAAATTTTACTATTTTCTTTATTTTTGCTGGATGTTGGAATTTGAATGGTTATGTGTGATAGGGTTTTTATGATATTCAATCTTGACAGGTTGTTATTGATCGCGTGGTGATACCAAGAAGGTATTTTGATTCAAATTCGAATTTTCTTTAACCAACTGTAGCTCTTTGCGTTAAATCATATAAAGTTACTAATATTTTCAGCGTGATACTGATGTTGTTTAGGATTTCTAAGGCAAGAGATTTGTCAAACCGGGTGTATGCTACTGATGAAGCCAGGGCAAAGGCTATGGAGAAAGCAGAAAAGCTACAGTCTGATTTAGGTTCCGACTGTCCAATCTTTATAAAATCAATGCTTCAATCCCATGTTACTGGTGGATTTTGGCTGGTGAGATCAATTTATCATCTCCCAAGCTATCTTGCAATCTCCTTGTCTGTCTATATGGATTGGGTTGTCAATTCTGTAGATTGGCATTATTCTTTTTTCCTATATTTTTTTCATGTTGAATCAGGGGAAAGTAACATTAAAACTATGTACATAAGTCACAATTTTCTGTAAGATAACTTTAGACAGACAATCTGAGGGGCTTCTCAAGTTTGCTAGCCACTTCCATGGATGGACTGATTCACTCTGTGATTGTGCACACATGTCTTTCGTTTACCACTGTTTTTTTGTTTATTCTTTTAGCTACTAATATGTATCTAATTGTCTGTTAGATTGAAAACGTCTTGTATTCTGTGTATGCCCTGTCCTCATATGTACTTTGTTCTAATTCCCATCGTATAAGTTTATTCAACTATGGATAGCGATGATGTAGATTGTGAGGGAAACTTGGTGCAGGGTCTTCCGGTCGACTTCTGCAGAAGGAACCTTCCAAGGCGTGACGATGTCATCACTTTGATAGATGAAGATGCGCATGAGTATCAAGTTATATATTTAGCCCGAAAGAATGGACTAAGTGGTGGATGGAAAGGGTTCGCTGTTGCTCATGGGCTGGTAGATGGAGATGCTGTGGTTTTTCAGTTAATCAAGTCTACAGCATTCAAGGTGATCAGTTTGCTTCTTCTCATTTTTCATTCTTTACCTCACAATTTCCTTTGATATTTGATAGACAGTTCCTATCTTTTTGTCAGGTCTTCATTATAAGGGTGAATGGTTCGGAACAGGGCAATAGTATTTAAGTTTTCGTACTGTGGTAGGGAAGCAGCCAGGTTGATTTAGGTAACTGTCTTAGAATGCATGTCAAAATTTGATTTCTTTATTGTTGCTCCACTTTATTCTTGTTCATTAAGCATGTGACAATGGATGCCAAATAGAATTTTGATGAAATTATTTATTTCAAGCATCAGCATATTAACTCATAAAATTACATAATCTTGTTTTTCACGTAAACTGTGGATTCTTCCTCGTACTCTTTCGACATCATGAATTCAGTGACTATTTTATGAATCAGGTTACAGCAACTTCTCTTGCACTCTTTTGACATTTAATGTAGCTGGCACATGGTCCACGTGAAATATGAGATTGAAAAGGGAGTCGATTGCTTATTCCTTATTTCTTTTGTTAGTGATGCACTTATCTGAAAATAATAATAATAATCTGCAATACAGCTACACTCCATATTAAAATAAACAACAATAAATAGTATAAGAATGTGGAATGAATTTCATCTAATCAAATTTAAATAATTTAGTATCTTCGGTGTAATTGAGAAATTGCAATGGTGACGAAATAATGACAGCTAAAACAATAAATGCAAACAAAACAATTACTTAAAACTTGCTAATTTCATGCTCTGTGATATGATTTTCCTTCGAACTTTTGCAAACATGTTTTTAGGCTCTTTAATTTCTAATGTTGCAGGTAGTGGCAGATTGCCTGGCCGCGCATGTAGCAGGAATTTTTGGTCCTTGCCCCCGCGGGAAGGGAAAGTAATTTTCTTGTTTCCTCAGTTATCTCCTGCCTTTTTGTAGGTCTTGGGTTGTTGGCTAATCTATGTAATATTTATCATACATCAAGAATTCACTCAATATCTTAAATCTTTAAATTAAAATAGTTATTTAACAATTTACATGGTATCAAAATTTGAATCTTTTAATTAATTAAAAAGATAAACATAAAATGACATGGATCCAGGTAAATTTTAAGTGTTAAAACACTTTCACTCAATATTTTAGGTTTTTAGATTAAAATAATTATTCAACAATTGATGCAATGCGATTTCAAAATCTTTTTCTTTTTATTAATAAAAAAATTAAATTCAAGATAATATGAATTGTAATTTTGAAGTGTTAAAATACTTCTGATTTAAAGAGTGTATTAAAATTTGTATAAATCAATGCTGGGATTTTACCCCTTGATGATGAGGAACTGGGATCCAAACTTTTGGATGAATATAATAACAGATTAGCGCGAATGCCGCTTGAATATTTGAGGCCCATGGGTCCGTTGATAACCTGTAAAGATTGGTGCAAAGGGCTTCTTGGCTGTTTGGAGGTGTTTCGAACCACGTGCTCTCGGTTCTTATCCAAACCCTCGAACTAATGTGCTACTTTTGCGGGTTCTATATTTCTTTTGCTCCTCTTCGGTTTCCCCTCCCTTATTTTCTTTTTTCTTTTTTTTTTTCTCCTTGATGGAGACATAAATGTTAGCTCATATGTTAGTTGGAATACTGCTGCAGTCATTCACAAGGTTTACAATGTCTAGTCTACAAGACCAGGAGACGAACATGCCTGGAAGCTGCTGGTATGGGGCAAACACCTCATGATCCCCATGTGGCCAAGCGTGTTGCAAACTCAGAACTAAGGAAAATTCGATAGCGCAAATAATTGCTGCAAGGGTTTCCAAACAGCTGGATAGATGGCACCACCAATTTCATGGAGTAGAAAAGTCTTGTAACACACAATAAACTAGTACTGATATTTTATTGCAATATGTGTGGTGCAATGACTCCACTCTCCTGGGTGATGAGCTGTTATGAGTAAGAACTAAGAACCATGTAGTAGTTGAGTTGATAGCAACGCTCGGGTCCAGCTTGCTTTCTTGCCATGCAAAATAAATGGAACATGCTTTGAAGCCGCATGTCAACAGAGCAGCAAAGGTTAGAAACGAAGAAAATGCGTTTTACGCGTATCTCGTTTCTTTATCCAAAGCTGCTTGGTCAAATGTTGCCGTGAGCAGCCACTAAGCCATCCAATAAACACTGTTGTCAGTAGTTGATTAAGCTCTCAAGATATCTTGTTGTTAATCACTGATTTTATTCTTTCACGCGGATTGGTTAACTTCGCAGAATTAGAGATAAACTGGCGCCGAGAATTTCGGGGTCCTCCAAGCGGATGTCAAAGGATTAGGTTGTAAAGACACGGAAAATGGAGGCTCCCCAGTCTTGTGGGTCCGTTGGCCCTACCTCCACACAAGTAGAGGAAGACACATTCACAACTACGTGACATTGACAATGTCGTTGTCCTCCACCTTTTCATATATATATATATATATATATATATAAGCACTAACAAAATAATTATTAACAATTTCGTGTGTCTGAATTTAGACAATCAAATTAAAAAATCCACTTTTTTTAATGGTCATATCGATCTCTTAAAAATAACATAAACTTATTAGCTCACTAACCAATTTTAAAAAGTTAAAAGTAATCCAAAGGAATCCTCAATGTTAAAATAAAAGAAAAAAAAACATGTTACTTATTGGCCCGCTATTGAAAGGAATAAAAAAGAAAAATACTATAATGGCAATAAAACATTTCCTGATTTTTGCATGTTGTATTTATTTTTCCCTGATTTTCTTGACTAGGTCCATTTTGCGCGTTACTCTCCTAAACCGGCTTCACCTACAAATACAGAAAAACAAACCAATCAACATCAATCCAAGTAACTCTGTCCCCACTCATCCCTCAAATCGGCTTGATCTCGATCTTTAATAAATAAATAAATTATTTAACACTAACACAATGAGTAGTATAGACCCCACCTTATTCGTCCTTTAGTGGGCCATCTTTACTCAATCAAAGCTAATCCAACGGTCCTGATAACGTCCACAAGCGCAAAGTTAGTGCTATCTCGATTGACAAGCCGCTCAAAAAACAGCTTCCTTTCTAGCGCCGAGAGAACCGAATGGCGATTTTTGCCACGTCATCAGAGATAAACAGCTCTATTGCGCTGTGCTATATTGTTAATGAAACGATCTTTCCTTCTTTCTCTCTTTCAACAATGGAATTTTTGCAGGATGCTGGGATCCGCGTATCTCGATTACTAAAACACCAACAACAAAAACAACCATTTCTCTGTCATTCTCGCCGCGTTTAATCTCTTACCGCCGATAAAAAATTCTTTCCTTGTAAATTTTCTCCTCTTTTCTCTTCTCCATTTTTTAGTTTCATTTTGCTTAATGTTTTTCATGAATTTGTATGTTAATATCAAGTTTTCCGTGATTTTTTGGTCAAATGTTTTCTACATTGATCTAGAATTTTTATTTTTTTCGATCCCGATGATTAACGATCAAACCTAAATTTGTATCAGGATTACATGAAGAAATGACGTATTAGAGATTCCGGCGGTGTTGGTGATTATTGCTGCTTGCGGGTGGTGTTAGGAGTGAAAATTCGGGTGTAGGGGATTTTTGAGGGAGAAATTAAAATAACAATGATGGCTGCGAGGGAACATCATACGGTGCCGCTTTCGGTGCTCTTAAAGCGAGAATTGGCAAATGAAAGGGTAGAGAAGCCGGAGATTTTATATGGACAGGCTAGTCAGAGCAAGAAGGGGGAGGATTTTACATTGTTAAAAACTGAATGCCAGAGAATCGTCGGCGATGGGATCACTACTTATTCTGTTTTCGGGGTAAAGTCTTCGAATTTTGATGCCATTTTTAACAGATTCATGATCAGTTGAATTGAAATTGGCTTAGCTGACTAATTTTTTAAACATATATAGCCTTTGAATGTTTTACTTAGTTTCCGTAGGTTTCTTATTACTATAAACCTTGTTTTGTAGTTATTTGATGGACATAATGGGTCTGCAGCAGCAATATACACTAAGGAGAATCTACTCAACAACGTCATAGCCGCCATGCCTCCAGATCTTAACAGAGATGAATGGGTAGCAGCATTGCCAAGAGCTTTAGTTGCAGGGTTTGTCAAAACAGATAAAGATTTTCAAGAGAGAGGTATGAGTAGTTTCTTTTGAAATTAAACTTTAGTTGAAATTGAGGGACCTTGGAGTATAAACTCGAAGACCTTCATTCACAGTGTAGGTTCGAAAGACTTTCTTGAATTGGTCAGCATCCCCTATAGCCTTTCCACTATCGTTCTGGAAGATGTGTTTAAGTCAATTTGCACACTTCTGTAAATTGCATCTTTGTTTATGGATGGAGAGTTTACGTTATGCTTTTTGGAGACACTTATTTCCTTTCATTTATATTTTAAGATTCAGAAATAGTGACATTGTATTGATAGAAAGTACATTCATAGAAGTACAAAGATTTCCACACAATTCATATATTCCCAAGAAGTGTCTTGATGCCTCCAGACTTATGAAGACATTTTACTTATTCATCAGAACGTCGTGCATCCATTGATGATAAATACATTTATTGATTACAGTAACTTATTATTCATCAAAGTATTTCAAGGCTCCACTCTTTCTTTACATGTAGGGCATCAAGTGCTGTTTTTTTCACACTAAATTAGCAAATGGTTGATTTAACAGGATGTTTTATGAAACAGCATTTTTTTAAAATGATTGTTTAGACTTCTGTAATCACTTTATGCATGGAATGTGTTCATGTTATTGATTTTGTTTTTCGCACTCGTTGATTTGCAGGACTAAGGTGCCAATCGAATACGATTGATATTCATAATCTTATCCTATCCATATGGTTTACTACATGAACCAATAATGATGCATCTTTTGTCTTGGCAAACCATCCTGCATGTTTTAACGGCACTGCTTTTGTTGATTGATCATATGCATCTGGTCATATCTTATTAGGAATTTATATCATTTTAGTGAAAGTGCTTGTTTTGAGTCCAATGTTGTGAGCTTTATATGTGAATGATGTTTAATGTGCACAATTTTGGTGTTTTTGCCTTCCCAGCTCGAACTTCTGGAACAACTGTCACATTTGCAATAATAGAAGGATTGGTTATAACTGTGGCATCTGTTGGCGATTCCCGTTGCATTCTTGAATCTGCTGAAGGCGATATCTATTACTTGTCAGCAGATCATAGGCTCGAGTGCAATGAAGAGGAGTAAGTCAGATATATATTCTCATTATGCATTTAACTGATCCTGTTATTACTGAGGCCTTAAATTTTAATTTAACAGGAGGGAGCGCATTACTGCAAGTGGGGGTGAGGTGGGACGGCTGAATACTGGAGGCGGTGCGGAGGTACTCTTTTCCTGTTTTGCATTTTTGTTCTTTTATTTCAAATTGTGTACTCTTTGTCAACTTTTCTGTTTCGGTGAAACTGAATACACGATGATATTCTCCTTTGAGTTCATTGGTCTAAATTAGGATAACTACCAGAACATGAAAATAAGGCATTATTTAGCTTATGAATTTTTAAAGTTTTCCCAAATAGAATTGTAAACAATGACAAGTTTGTGGAATAAATGGCCTGTATGATATTTTAAATGGCATGTTCTGTAATTGTATTGAATTGAAATTGTATAAAACTTTATTATGGGATTGAAGTAAATTGTCTAATGTGGGTGGCAGTTCTATTTCAGATTGGCCCTTTGAGATGTTGGCCTGGTGGCTTATGTCTTTCAAGATCCATCGGGGATGTGGATGTTGGCGAGTACATTGTTCCTGTTCCTTTCGTGAAGCAAATTAAGGTTTGTTCTTAAGATGTTGTAATGTGTACATTATGATGGATATGTATTGGTGGTTTTATTGCTATTGCTCGCATCCCACTGTGGGCTTTGAGTACTATTGGTGAACTCCATGCTTGTCCTATAGCTCTCTGTTTCTCATCATCTTTAACACTCTGTTTATCCATTAATTTGAGGATTTTTACCTCTGAAATAAGTTCACAGCACTTACAAAATTGATTTCATTGATAATTTGCTGTGAAATGGAAATTGATTATAATCTAAATGTTTGTTTTATTATGGTTCTTTCAAAACAACTGATGTTTATTATCTCTTATGCCACTTTATTCATGTTTCATCCATCTTACATTTTATTTTGTTGGTTCGTAGTTCATCTTTTTGGGTCATGATGATTTTTCTCAACATAGCTTCCCCCTTGATTCACCCCAGAGAACAAAGGTCATATTGACTGAGGTCATATTGGAAACATCTTCCAAAATTATTTATGGTCTGCATGTAGCTTCATCTGACATGCTTTTTTTTTTGGTTTGAAGTAACATTACCTCATTCTGCATACTTTACACATCACTTGATTCGCACTGAAACACAGGGTGCTGTTATTCACTTCTTCTCTCCTTAAAAAGCTTCTAATCTTTGTGATTTGTAGTTGTCTACTGCAGGTGGCAGGCTTATTATCTCAAGTGATGGTGTTTGGGATGCTCTATCTGCGGAAGTGGCTCTTGATTGTTGTCGTGGCATGGCAGCAGAAGCTGCAGCTGCACAAATTGTCAAGGTGTAGTGTTATGTTTTTCAATGGAAACTCCACCTGAAATTGCCCCCAGTTTAAGATGCTACTGCCTCCTTACTATGTCACATTATGGGACACCGTTCATGATAACCTGTACTTCGTCTCACTCTCTGCATTCTGTTTGCAGGAAGCAGTGCAGGTGAAAGGACTTCGAGATGATACAACCTGCATTGTGATTGATATAGTACCCCCAGAGAAACCAGCCGCCCCTTTGCCACAACCAAAAAAGCATGGAAGAGGAGTGTTCAAGTCCATGTTTCGCAGAAAGTCCTCTGAATCTTCTTCTCAAATCGATAAAGAATATCTGGAACCAGATGTGGTTGAGGAACTATATGAGGAAGGATCAGCTATGCTTTCAGAGAGGTTTGTGCTGTGAAGATCATCATTTTTGGCTAAAATTGATAGTTTGATCTCCATATTGGGTATTGGTGACAGATTTGTAAATTGTGTGCTCCTTTCTGGTTGCTTGTTCCCTTCCTATGTGATTGTGTTTGAATCCATCCGCCATGGGTGGTTTGGCTGCCTGTCTTTGAGAAACAGCCATGTTGCTTTTAGTGTTTTGATGCAATGCATGTTTGTGTGTAATGCAGGTTAGATACGAAATACCCGCTTTGCAACATGTTTAAGCTGTTTATGTGTGCAGTCTGTCAAGTAGAGATAAAACCTGATGAGGGCATTTCAATACATGCTGGTTCATCTGATTTTGGAAAATTGCGTCCCTGGGATGGCCCTTTCCTTTGCTTAAGTTGCCAAGAGAAGAAAGAAGCAATGGAAGGGAAAAGGCCGTCAGGAGGTACAAACAACATCTCTCTCTCTCTCTGGCCCTTGCTCTCTCTCTCAACTTTTAAGTTGACTGATTTTTTTATTTCATTTGTGCTCAATTATACAGATAGGCATAGCAGTGATAGTGACTAGCCAACCATCCTTGATCGTATTTGCTTTTGGCAAGCACTAACGATTGTTTCAGAGTTCAAGACAAATGAAAGAACGTTCTTACAGTATTTTGCTCGTCACAACTTCTCATGGGTGTCTTGCATTTTGCCTGTTGGTGGTAAACTTAAAGGACACGTTTGGTTCTATCCATATTGCTTCTGAGCTCGAAGTTGGAAGGTCAAAGTAGAGCTGTTTGCTTTTTACAAATCTGTTTCTGACTTCAAAATAACACTTGTGCTCGCGTACCAGCTTAAAGATCTATTGAAGGCTTTTGTGAAACTTATTGATACCTGATACATGGCATCTTGTTGGGATCATTTGTTTTTCTGCCTGAATCTGTTCCTCTGTGGTTCATAGAGAGCTAACATCAAATGACTGTCCTTATGTAATATTATTGTCATATAAAGAATTTGTTCATGTAACATTAAATTGAATCTTCCTTGGTCAATTAGCAAGGTTAACTTTAGATATAGAAAACTTGTATTTTTTTTCTGCAGCAATTGTCTCTATTCTGTCAATCAGAATCTACTTGTCGTCGGTGCAGTATGTGAGCATGGAGATCATATAATTTTATTTTTTCAGTTTTGCAACTTGAGCCTACTTGGTGAAGGCCCTCGAATGTTGAATGTATCCAATGAATCATGAAATATGATCCAACTCCTTCAATTCTCGTTTTATGTTGTCCTTCTGTTTAAAGCTTGCTTTGGTTTGATGGGGTAGCACTCCACATTGTGGCTGTGGTGTTTAGAGCCCCACATGATTGGGACCATTTTCAACGGGACAACAAGTGGACACTTTCTTGGCTGGAGGGTTGTGAGGTGAGTCAAATGACATGTGAACTCTGTTTTACTAATTTGGACGTCTCTGTATTCTTCTCTTTGTTTCATCCGCTGATGCTTATTTTGAGACTTTTCAAGATGGAAACACATCCCAATATTTTGCTGTCAAGATTTCGCCTCAAATGTACTAATGATCTTCCAGAGTGGAAAAAACTCTAATTGGCTGAAGAGGCAAGAATTATTAGGCCTGGTAGTTGGTGCTGATGGATTCAGTTTTCGAAGGTAACAAGCTCTTTTTTTGTCATCGACGTCACATATTGTCTTGCTATTCTGGTTTGCGGGACCACAATGCGAAAACGGAGTGATGGCAATTATTAATTTAATTTTTTTTATCTTATTCATAATAAAAAGAACATTTTACCTATTATTTATTAAAAAATCATTTTATAAATTTTTACCTGTGTTTGTTTATTCGTACTTTTAGTACCTCAAAAATAATTTATCAAAATATTTTATTTTCATCCCTTTGATTTTTATGAAAAGTTTTTTATCCTTGAAAATTATTATTATTATTTTTATATTTTGGTACTTCATTTATAAGTTTTTGAAAAAAATATTTAAGTCACACATTCAAGATTCTTACACATAACTAGTCTGTTAAGATTTGAATTCATAACCTGTTATTGCAAGAGATCACTACCACTAGATTACAAAATCTTTAATATCTCAAAACTCATTGAATATTTATCGAATTGGATAAAGTAGGTTCTCGTTTTATGCTCAATCCATTGTCATCTCTATTTATATACATTAACAAAACATGTGTGTGTGAATGATTTTCATAAACAAATAGTAAAAACGAGATAGATAATTATTTGGTTAATTGTAAAATATTTTTTTGAACAAAAAAGTCCGGTTTTGTCCAATAAACAATATGATTTTTATGATTATATCCATTAGGTTTTTGGTGAAAAATGAGCAAAAATATCTTAAAAAATTCTCTCAATTTCCCTCTCTGCAGTTGATGAAAACTAAAAAGACAAATCAGCCATCCACCTCTTATCTCTTCTTTGTCTACCATTATCGACTAATGACTATAACGAGCTGCAACAGTTTCGATCAGAGTATTTTTGATGTTTTTAATTTTAATTTGAAAGTTTTGAAATTAGGATTTTTAGGAATAGATTTAATGAGATTTTCAATTTAGATTTTCTTGTAGAGATTCACGAGACTTTCTTTAATTTGTCTTCTTGTTGTTGTTGTTTTTTTTTTTTTTTTGGCTTACAAGTTTAGAATAAGAGGAAATAAGAGGAAGAAGAAGATGAGATTTGTTTTTCGATTGTAGCTGCAGAGAAAGAAGGAATAAAATGTTTGTTATGATACTTTCTATAATTTGTCATCAAAACCCTAGAATATGAGCAAAAACAATATATATATATCGTTTAGGGAGTAAATTGAGGATTTTTTTATTCAGAGAATATATGTTTTTTCCGCTAACGTTCAATGATATGTTTTACAATTTAACGTAAATATCCCATCGTACAAACCTTTTTGGGCATTAAATTTCAGAGTCCTATTAGGCTATTGCTTCTAACATTCACAAGAACTTATCACGTGTGTGTGCACGTGTGCTTGAAGGAGAGAGTTTTTCTGTCTGGTACCGTGTTTTGGTTATTGCTGGCTTGTCTACTGAAAGAAAGAATAAAAGATTGAGTGGCCGAACGCAAAAGCAAGAGGAAAGAAAAGTTTTTCTGCACCGAAGGATCTTGTGGAGTTTGAGTGTGAAATCTTTGTTTTATGCCATCTCATGTTTTCTTTCTCTCTCTCATTCCTCTTTATCTTCAGCAAAAAGAAAAAAACTAATACAAATATAATACAGTATATACATATATATGATTCCGAGTGTTTTAGTGTTGAAGATGAGTCAGTCCACCAAAATAATAGCTACATGATTGAGATGTTGACCTTAACTAAACGAACAAAATTCTTCCACTGGATTTGGACCAGTTTGTACACGTGTGTGTGGGGCCTATCATCTTACCTAACTGCATAACTTTTTGATTTTTGTCTTTGAAACGTATACCAATCATTCATTTTATCGCCGTCCGATCTAAAGTTAGTGAGACTAATCACATGAATTATCTATAAAACACTGTTAGACATATTTTTTTTAAGTAATGAACAATTAAATAGAACGTAATAATGATCAAGAATTTTTTATTCATAAAATATTTTTTGTCCACCAAATATATATATATATATATATATATATATATATATATATATGAAAAGATATATAATTTTAGTATGCAAAATATAAGGATTGAAAAGTTCTTTTAAGTGTGAGAGTTGGTGCATAAAAAATTATGAGATTAAATTTTAATTATAAAAATCACAATTAGATTCTTAGATTAATTTTCTATCATAATAAAGAATTATTTTCGAATTCATAAAATAGATAAAATTACGTTAAATATTGAATGTTTAGTCTTTATTTATCTTTATTGACCTATGTTATTTTTATTTTTATTGGATTGAATTATTCGTGATAATGATGTGTTGAATCATCCATCCTTAATTTCCCATGCAACCTTTTTGTTCGACTTCTGTGCGTTCTCTGTGAAAAATTTGATTGGTGATGAGTAATTAATTATATAAATGGTTTGCATGAATTGATACGGTTGAAAGTCATTTATGGTGGGTCGTCTTTCTCGATCAGGATGAATCATACGCTTGCTGTAATGGGGAACCTGCATCGCACACTGTCTTCTGGTAATTGTAAATTTTCAAGATCTCTCTTCCGTGACCTGAACGGTAAGACAATCAATATTAATCAGTAATCATGAGTCATGACAACTATTTCATCTTTTTCTTAGAAGTAGAAAATACAGCACATTCATTCATGTGTGATTTAATAAGTTCTTTGCTGCCTTTTATTCTAGTATTCTCGTATATGTACTAGATTTTGGGTATCACTAAATCTTTTTTCTTTTTATCTGAAATTTAAATATATCATTCGCATATGAACTTTTGTATTCATTTAAATATTTCTTTTTCATGATTTTTTTTATAAATTTGAATTCAAAATAATAATATAAACAACAAATCTCTTAAAGCGCCATTGTATAAAATTAAATTCTGAAAAGTGAAAATGTAAATTATATATATATATAGGCTGTCTTAATCATTCAACTCTAAATGAGAGAAAGAAGTTAGGATTGATTTTAGGCTTCAATCTTCCAAGGTTGGCTGGTGGTTAAATATAAAATGGGCAATCACCGATACAGACAATATTAGAGAAAGAAAAGTTGGGCCAATTAAGCCTAAAAGCCTAAGTGGAAAAACTAGCAGGATAAGAAGAAAACAGAGAGGGAAATCCACACAGATAATAAGAAAACATATTTGTTTCTCATGAGAAACAAAGAAACCGAAGGTTTAAAAATAACCTGATGAAATCGAAAAGGTATAACATTGACTCGAAATCCCACAGATTTTGAAATCCAATCTCCATAAAGGCCTTTCTAGTCAGCAACATTATGCCACCCCTCTTTTTAGCAACTAATCATGTTCAAACCTCGTTGATCCCTAACGTAAATCTGGCAAAACTTTCCATTCCCCAGTATACTTGCGCGCAGAAGACTAATACCGTAACAACGAAAGAGAGAGGCATTAATGTGTAAGTTATTTATTCAAAGATTCCTCTTGAAACAGGTGCGCATTTATCCTTGTGTATATGAACATGACATATCTATCGAGTCTCCTCGACCTTCACATTGGCCAAAACAAAAAACAGGAAAATGTTGACTTAAATTACTTTGGCAAGTCATTTTGCCCTTCACTGCTCTTCCTTGCCTTGCCTTCCCAATCCAATCTAATCCAATCAAAGGTTGTGGGCAACTTTGGATCATAGCGATTCTCATTCCCTAAATAAGCTATGGCAATAGCTGTTAGATTTTGACAAGGACCCACCGACCTTCAACACATAATGCTAAATGTTGTATTATCTCATATCCTATAAGTGCCATCGCCACCACACCCTTTCTCCATGTAAAGAATAATGCAAAAAGATAAAGCTAGTCATGGGTTGCAATTTCTGCACTAAAGACATTTTAAGCCCAGCTACAGATTGACAACAATCTCTCTCTCTCTCTCCCCACCTCCCCCTATCTTCACTGCTTTCTGATACCCTTATCCCCATCGATCCTCAAAGGTTTGGCAACATTCCTACTTTATTGGCCCAAAAATAAGAAAGTGTTAGAGCTCCACATACTGAATCAGATCTTATTGGTCGTCCACTAAAATTCTGTGTGAACTATGGACAACCAACCGCAAAGAAACTGCAGAGAAAAAGCTGTGGAGAAGCCTCAAGAAGGGAGGTTAAAACAAGAGAGAAAAGAAGGGCTACATGAAAAGCAACAGGCACTGCCAACATCCCCTGCCTCACCACCTTCAGCATCATCATCTCCTTCTCATGAGTTCTCCTTCACAATATCTCTCCACTCTACCTCAGCGCCAGTCCCTGATAAGGTAAAAACCCCTCCTAATTCATTTGCTATTGATTTGTCTCCAGCAGATGACATTTTCTTCCACGGGCACCTGCTTCCTCTCCATCTCCTCTCACACCTTCCTGTATCTCCTCGCTCGTCCACAAATTCGTTAGACAGCTTTACTCTACCTATCAAGGAATTATCAGATGATCAAAGACCCAGCAAAAGTACCAACAACTACAGCACCAGCAATGCAAATGGCAATAGCGGTAGCAGTAGCAACAGCAATAACTGCAGTCACCATCAAAGCAAAAACTGTAGTGAGACAAAGGGAAGAAACAAGCCCAAGTCGTTCTCTTTATTCGGTTGGCGTAAAGGGTGTGAAGTTAAAGAAAAGGAAGAAGACAAGGATAAGCACAAGAAAAGGCTAAGGTTCGACGTAAGTCAGGTGCTGAAGAGGTATGCCAGAATGGTTAGGCCACTGATGTTCTTCAAAGGAAGGAGAGAAAATCTCCGATTCCACAGGCAACCTTATTCATTTTCAGGTAATTTAAGTTGGAGAAATAAGCAGGATTTGCGAGGAAGGAGAGGAGAGTACTCAGCACCGGCATCGATGAGGACATCTCCATCAAACAGTGGCCTTCTTCTTGCAACTGCAGCTCTTCCTTCTTCTACTAGTGATAGTACCATGGAAGAGTTGCAGGCTGCTATTCAAGCAGCAATTGCTCATTGCAAGAACTCAATTGCTGCAGAAGAAAAGATCAAATGTTAAATGTTATCTTGGTGACAACTCCAATTTTCCCCTCATTGAACTGCTATTACTATGTCTAATATACTTGTGTATAAATTAAAGTGATATATATAGAGAATTATGAATTGAGTTAGACAATTTTAATTATGATGGTATCAAAAAATTACAGCATTCAAGAATCAAGTTTCATGCTTTCTTGTCTTTCAGCAAGCTAGCTAGGTAGGTATCAAGGATTGAGGTCCTTAAATTTCCAACAGCAAATCAACTTCTTAATTATGCATGTTCGTTCTACGCATAGGAGATATATTCATCATCATAAGCCAGTTATTTTTCTCTGTAATACTCCGTTACAACAAGTATGGCAATTCAACGAGTCTATTTGTTTCCTTTCACATGTCTAGCTTTCTGTTTCTGTATCAAAGCCCATCTATCATATTATATCATTACCGGCTAATTGGCCATGAATATTCTAACTTGTTTCTGATTATAAGTACGATGTCTATGGCTTACATCATTAATTAATCCAAGTAGTGCTAATATTTATGCTCGGATCGAATATAATTTAATGCAACTCAACCAATTCTTGATTTCAAATTAATTTTTAGACTATAACCACCACTAGAATAAATATTTGGCGTAATTTTCGTAAGGCATCCCAGAATTCTAGAGATTCACAAGGTTGAAGAAGCTAGTCTCCTATTGTCACGGGCATATTGCTATCTTTAACAAATCAATGCCAGCAAGATAAAAGTGTGGTCTGGTCATCTCATGACATGTATATTTTCCATTTGAATTAATGTTACTAGCCATTCCTGGGAGGGACTGAACAAATGGACCTTGGATGACAAATTATAATTAACTAGCGTCATTCAAAGAAGCAAGCATGGTCCATCATCACCGACTTATTATCACAGGTACCTAAAGTACAGATGGAAATTACAGATATCTCTGCCCTACTTATATGATTATGTTATGATAAAAACATCACTACAAAATGGATGCATATCCGGTAAAGAAAGCTGAAAAGGGCACAGAAGCAAAAGTCTCCAATCGCACAGGAAAAAAGCAAGACCAAAGTTTGGTCATAATTCAGAGTGGTAGTTGTTGTGGCAAGAGATGATATCATTGGGGCTCAAAGGCTGTGGGTCTCATGAGTCTCATAGCTTCAGAAATCATGGAAAACGTAAGTCCCAAGTACAGCAATGATAGCGTAACAATAATGTGGGGAGATACTTAGCCAAGATTCACATTTCAAAGGTTAGTCCAGTTTAAACTATGAGGTTGATCACACGTTGCAATGATGTATGCAATTGACTGAGTTTTTAGCTTTGCTACCTGAGGAGCATCTTTATGATTATTATATTTACCAATCCCAAAGAATCAACCCCACTCACATGAAAGTGCTATCATGCCTTTTTAATCATCATGCCAAAGGCTAAAACGATTAAAGTTTTTTTTCTTTTTCTTTTTCTTTTTTTTTAAAGGAACAACAACAACACATTGAACCAACGAGAAAATATTCTATGGGGACTGTGTACTCTTCATCATGCGCACGAGCGGATACGTTCATAAATTTAACAATTGAAAGGCAAAGCCATAGATGGAGTACTCTATTTATGATCACGACCATAAAAATTTGAGCACGACATGTTTCCTTTCTAAATCCCACCAAAGGAAACCCCACAAAAAAGGCAATGGCTGCTGGGCTCAAGGAGAAACTCTTATGATTGGAACTAATAAACAACTAAGGTAGCCACATGATTTTACTCAAAAGTGTTATTGCCTGCAATAGAAGATCGGGTCTTTTTCTAAAGAGAAGTCCCCAAAAAAAAAGAAGGGCTAGCCACGAGCACCGTATCATAGATGCATTCAGCAGCGTCAAGATTCAAAATCTTTCTTAAAATTTTCGAAAAGAAAAGTTGAAACTCGTAAACTGGCCTTGAAATTCAAAGCTGTGCGCACTTCTACAGCCTTATATAGGCTGAGAAAAAAGATTTTTTTGTAGAAAGGAATGCTACAGTTTGGACCCTTCAAGGATCCTTGATCACAAGACTCGCTTTATTTGTCCAAAGCCACAATTGGCAACAAAGTTACTTCAATAAAATCTTCTTAAATTTTTGTTTTCTAAGAAATTAGAAAAAAAAAAAATACCCTACTAAGATATGCATGACTTTGTAGTTTCAAATCACTGGAAACTTTAATCAGGAAATGTTAGTGACAGCTCTATATTTATGAATTACTTTGTTAGATTGAATGTTGGTAAGGGTTGCATTAGAATTCGTGGATGATTGAAAAAAAAGAAAAGAAAAGAAAATATGAAGAAAATATAATAAGAAAAAAACACTGAGAATACACATACATCGTTACAACATAATTTTAAACTTCTTTATTTTCTTAATGTTTAGCATCATAAAAAATAAAAAAAAACTCTATTGGAGTAAAAAAATAAAGAAGTCTGTTGTATATATATATATTGCAATTTTTTGTTTGATTTTTATTTATTTTTAATTACAAATAGTAATAATCTATTAATTTTTTGAAATAAATCTATATCTTTTATTACAATACAGCAAAGTATGGTAATCCACTAGTTATAATTATAAGCAAGAAACTACAGCCAAGAACACAACTGAATTTACTAGTTTAGCCTTCCTTCTAGTGACAACAAAAATTTATCTCCTTAATTCTCCAGCCCGTTAAATTAGCTCACTTGTATGCCTAATAACTTAAGTGAAGCGAGCCGAGCCGGAAACCCAAGACTCTTAAAGCCCAACTTATTTCAACGTTGAGTCAGGCGGTGTACCGAGTGTTTGTTTTTTTGGGAAAAAATTACATTACTTTTAAATTTTATTCATATCAATCCTTCTATTTAAATTTTTTAGACATTTTTATCCTTTAATCCTTTTATCCACTTTCATAGCAAAGATTCATACGGCCTTCCGAATCTAAAATTATGATTCGAAATTGCAAATAAAATGGCAAAAAATAAATTAAGATTATTTTTAAAAAATTACGTCAACCTACGCATTGATACTATAATACAAAACAGTTCCTATACTAATAACTTGATCATATTATTCTATAAAATAAGATTCGTTTATTTTATTTTTTATATATTCTATCACATACATACATGTGTATCAAGATAGATATAACCATACTTTACCAATATATAACCATGATTAGAAAAAATATTATTAAAGCTTATTATAAATTGATATTATTTTGAGTGATTTTATTAGCTTGAACTTATTAAAAATATTGAAAAACTCTAATTATTGACCGACAAAATTTAAAATTTTTTCTCTCTAGTATCTTCTTTTTCTTTCTTTTTTTAAAAAATTTGAGAACTTTGTTCTTACAATTATTTTTCACAAATAATCTTTTTTATCATTTAGATGGTATTAAGTTATTTTTTCTCAAATTCTTTCCAATAATCTTCTTCCAATCTAACATAACATAATCTTTTACAATCGTTGTTTGATAATTTATTTCTAAATATAAAAATATTTTTTCGTTTATATAAAATATTTTTATTTACATAAAAACAATAATAATTTATCATACAACTTTTCCAAAATATAAAAAATTATTATGGAGAATTATAATAAATAGCATCCACTCATTTTGTTGATTTTTTCTTTTTCCCACTAGTTGATGAAACGTGAACGTCAAAGTTTATTTTTATTTTATTTGCACTATTTTTTTATGGACAACTTTATTTGAAATTAGTTTAAAACATATTCAGTTAATAGGGCTAGTGATTGACCAAAAGGGAAAAAAATGCGTCCCGACACTGGGGAATAAATAATAGAAAAATAAAACGGTTTTTTTTTTTTGGTTGGTTTAGGATCTAATCATGCAATCATAAAATTTAAGGGCTAAAAGATAATTTGATATTTTTGTGTTATGACTTCGTGTCATCATTACGGGCCACTGCATCTTTTTCCTTATATAAATACAGTTAGTGCCAATTTATATCTCCGAATTGCCCCCATAAATATCTAGGTGCTCTTAATGCGATTTTCCCATTCTTTATAACAATGGGTATTCTCATCGACAATGTTTTGAATAAGGAGATTGAGGATGGTGCTTGAGCTTGGGTGCTGCTGTAGTGCTTGCTTTGGCATATCTTTTAGGACCATATTGCTTTTGCTTTCTTCCTGATACAATATTGAATTCGGAGAGAGTGCGAGGTAGTTAATCGTGTTACAGCTGAAGAGAACTACTTGTTAAACTCTGGAAGGTCGATAATGTTGCTCAGGATGCCGAATTCAGAGATAGAAGGAGGCATATACGGCAATTATCGTACAGCTAAAGAATCATTTGTTAAACTCCGAAATGTCGATAAAGTTAAGGATCTTGTTGAAGCTAGTGAGGCATCAAAAATTGGTTCAACACTCTGTCCGTCCTTGTTATTTCAAGAAACCGATTAATTAATATTTTTCGTTTTAAAAACTAATCATTTAATTTTTCATAGTTAAGTTTGTACTATAATTATTAAATTAACACATAATATTTATAATAATTTATAATATATATATCAATGGAGATATGTTTTGTTATTTGAGAAGAGAAAAAAGAATGGAGATTAATAAAATAAGAAATGAAGATTTAAAGAGAGAGTTATAAATTTGTTTTGGTAATTGAGAAGAGAGAAGAAAGAGATGAGATATGTACGAATGCGAGAAATAATATATATATATAAAAAGATAATTAAATAATAAAAAATACGACTGATTTATAATTTATTCCATGGAGAATGATCGTATTTGAAAGGAAGTATAGGCCTCAGCTTCTGTTTGCAATAACACTCCCATGTTTGATGCGTTTCAACAACCGACTGGAATGACGTGATTGTGTTTTATGCTCCTCTTTTGCTCAAAACCATTGGTTTGGGAGCAAAGGTTCTCTCTTTGTTGTTTTGACTATCGTTTTTGTAAACATGTTGCCAACTTTTGTTTCCTTTTTTGCCGCCGATAATGTCGGAAGGAGAAATCTTTTACTTGATGGCGGTGTCCAAGTGCTCTACTACCAGTTTGGTTAATTTCCAAATCTCTTCTCTCCTATAACCCAATTCTCATAATTCTTTGCTTTATTTAATTATGTTCTGTGGATATATATACGTGGTTTGCTATGTTTGTTTATTTTTCATTTCTAATTTTTTAGATTGCCATAGCTAGCTGCCGTTGCCATTGCGACGAAGTTTGGATGGGGTGGGAATCCGGGTGTGATTTCCAGTAGGTATGCTGGTCACGTAGTAACTTTCATATGTGTTTATATTGCCTGCTTTACTTGATCTTGGCAAAAAGTATCAATTTATCCGGGAGCATGATCTTCACCTTCACTATTGTGAAATTCTTCCCTGCAATGCTGTCTCACTTGAAGTTTGGTTTGTTCATTGTCTTTGCTATCTTCTTGATGGTGATCACGAGTAACTTCACACACAAGCTTCTGCTCGAGACCGAAGGTGTCCCAATTGAAAAAATGGGCACTAGTGTGTTGCGGATTCATATTTACTGGAGTCAGTACTATGATGAAGATGATGCTAAGTGTGCAATGAGCAAGCCCAAAAGTATTGGATCTGCTTACATTTTATGATGAAAAAGTTTCTTGTTTCATGTTTTTGTTGTGCATGGTTCTTACACGATTTCTTGTCCGGAAATTTGGAAACGCACTCACGAAATCATAACACACAAATGTCAAATAATGTTCTAGTTTTTAATTTTTATGGTTGCATGGATAGATCTTAAATCAACAAAAAATTAAAACCATCTTATCTTTTTGTTATTTTTTCCCTTGTTCCAGGACGTAGAATCACCCCCCCCCCCCCCCCCCCCCGGGTCAATTACTAGCCCTTCCTGCTGCATATGTTTTAAACTATTTTCAAATAAATTTGTGCATAAAAAATATATTTCAAATAAAATAAGAATAAATTTTGGCATTCACGTTTCGTGGAGAAGGAAAAAAAAGCAATATAATAAGTAAATGATCTTGGAAAAGTTGTATGATAATTTATTATTGTTGTCGCATACAAAAAAATGTTTTATATGAATGGAAAAATATTACTATATTTGGTAATAATCCGTCCTGAAAAAGTGTTAAATTAGTAATTTATATATTTTTAAGAATAAGAAAATACTTATAAGTTAATTAGAAGTTAATTGCAATTTTAATATAAATTTAAAATTTTGAATTCTTTTTATAAAATAAAATTAGTTGTTGAGGTTATATTCAACTTTCCTAATTAGTCTCCAACCTTATAAAAAAGAAAAAAAATCGGGCAATCCCGTTAAAATCCAAACGCCCCATTTTCTCTCATTTTTCTCCTTCTCTTCTCTTTTCTTTCTCACCCATAGATTTCTCTCTATTTTCTCCAACTCTCTCCTTCATTTTTCATGCTCAAATCTTGCCCAAATACCCTAAAAAATCATAAAAACAAGATGATTATAGTGAAATTTAGCTAGATTAGAGTTTGAGAGGTTTGGAGAGTTGTAAAATTGAAGTTGAGATTTGAAGATCCATTTGTCAAAAGTAAGATTTTTTGTCATTTAGTCTTACATTTGAGATGTTTATATGTGTTTAATGATTATTTTGGAATTTTGTTTGCATTGGGTTTATTGTTTGAGTAAAGATTAAGCTAGGTTGGGATTAGAGTTTGAATTGAATTTGAGAATTTGATGATTAAATAATTATTTACACTAATTGATGCTGAAAATGAGATAATAATAGTGTGAAATTGATTATTAGACTATGAGTTTGAGAAATTTCCAAAGTGATTGGGATTATAGATTGTAAAGACAAGTTGTGTGAACATATAATTGTAAATTAGCGATAGATAATTGGTTGTAACAATGTAACAAAGTGTAAATTGGATTGTTAGAGAAAGATTGTATTAATGAATTTGAGATATAGTCTTCAAATAATTGTTTAGAGTTGGTTGAGGGTATAAGATTCTAGTTAAAAGTCTTCAATCCGAGTCTTTTCGATAAATTTTGTTCTTGTAATTTGTTTTGTATTCCAATTTGTTAAGAAATTAATTTGCTTTTGAATTATTCTTTGAGATGTAATATTAATGATTATTTGATTATTTTATATCATTAAAATTTTGAAAACGGGAGACTCCACCTTATCAATCTTCACTTCTTTTGATTGTTGAATTACATTATGAGTGGATAATATATAATATATTATGTTTTTAAGTTCCTTTGATATTTCTATCATGCATTGTTGATTTAAATATATCATAATTACATATATTAAAACTTAGACAGGAGTAAACTCCTTGTGTAATTTGAAACAATTTGAAAACAAAAAAATGATTTGATATGATCTATAAAATATTTGATTATGTGTTTTGAATAAGTGTTTTACTTAAGGTTTTGATTAAACATTATATATTTAATTACAAGTTTGATCAATATTTTTAATTATAATTTTAATCATATAATTTAAGTAAGTATTTAATTTATGATTTCGCATATAAGTTTGGATTTGAGTTTATATTATGAAATTTGATATTGAATTGCATTACTAAAATTTAATTATGAGCATTAATTATATTTGTATATGTTTGTTTTGGATTTTTAACATATATGTAAGTTATTCGATTTGTTTGACTATCTTGGGATACCTAGTTACGGAGGACGTAGCCTATAAGGTCACTAATACAAAAATGCTCCAACTAGCAAGAGAGGTATGGTGTTAGCATGTGTGTTAGTCAACATATGATATACCTACGCTACGAGGAGCGTAGCCTTTGGATGTTTGTATCTAATGATATGACACTACTTTATCATTTCATATTTATAGATTTCGATACTTGATATAATTTGATTTAATTGTAAGTGTTTTGATATGAGATTTCGATTATAATTTTGAACAATATGAGATACGATTTGATATTTAAGATATTAATATAAATGAACTATAACTATGTAGTCCTAGTCCCGATAAACTAACCCTAGGTACGAATATCTAAATTTGATATTTTTAGACCACTTATTACTAATATTAAGTAGCAATCAAAAAATTGTATCCATTTTTCATAATATTATGCATGGATCAGATATATCATGGCGAATTCTTTAGAAAAATTTATGGAAGACATAATGGAATCTAATAAGTGAGATTTCGAGTGAGTGTTTATATAATCTTCTTCTCGTCCAAAGAAATGATTCATCGAAATAATGAACCACCATTGATATCGACACGTATGAGATCGTCAAATGTTTAGGAGTTCCTTTATTCAATCTTTTTCCTTCATCTTGTTCCAGGATATCTCATTTGTACATCTTTTTTTTTTTTTTTCCCAAGCCTATAACGAGTTATAGACGGAGTTCAAAAAGGTTAAATCTTTGATGATTCCATCATACATGATTGAGTTGCAAAAACTTTTGGATAGATATCCTACATTTGGACCGAATTCTTTGGGTAAAAGGATTGGAGTTGGTTGTATGTATTTATTGAAATAACCTAATCCTTTTTTGCTAAGGTCCGCATAAAAATATGTTATTGATGTAAGTAATGCTAAAGCAACGATAGTATTTATACCATTCGTGGATGTGACTAACTCCCAATGAGGTAACTCTATGATTTTACAAGATAAAAACGCCCCTGACCAATTAGAAACAAAAATAAATAGAAACATAGTTCTAATAAAAGGAACCCATGGACCATATTCTTCTTGATTATGGATATTATTTTGAATATACATAAGTATTATGAAATTACAATTGGTGCTAGAATCGAACGCATTGACTTATAGTTTGTGCTGAAAAAAAAATATTGACTAATTAGATTGTGATATTATGAATTGAATGTGATATTTTGATTACTACAAGTTTGATGGCAATAGTTTAAATATCCAAGATTTGTTTTAGTCGAGATGAGCCTTATGGCTCTCTCGATTCTCGCATCAATCATGACGCACTTTGAAGGTCGTGACATATTTAGAATTAAATTGTCAAACTATGATTGATATAGACAACATTATGTTAGATTGGAAATAAAATTATTTGACTTTGAGAAAGAAAAACATAATACTATCTAAATAATTGTGTTGTTCATGAAAACAGAAAGAACTTAATACCATCTAAATGATTTTATTATTCAAGAAGAGAGAGAGAGAGAGAGAGAGAGAGAACGTGAATGCAAAAATAGTTGAAAAAAAAAGGACTTGTTCTTAAAAAAGAAAAACAAAGAAAACGAAGATATAGAGAGAAAATAAGATAAATTTTGTGAGTTGATTTAAGTTTTTCAAATTTTTTGGTAAGGTTAAGTTAGTAAAATCACATTAAAAATATCCATTATAATCAACTTTAGTAGTATTTCTCTAGCCATTGTTTATGGTAAAGCATGGTGATATCCATGATTTTGACATTGGTGTCTTGATACACGCAAATAAGAAGGTTAGTTTATGGACTAATTGCTCCAAGTTACTAGTGTAGGGACTGTTTTGTATTCTAGTACCAATGCTTAGGCTGATGTAAGATTTTGTGTAAGACAAAATAGATTAGAAGACGAAAATAAAATAAGAATCCACCACCGATTAAGATTGTCTATATATGTTACTCTATCCTGTCATAGTATCGTGATCCTTTTTTATATTAAACAAAAATTAATAAAATTCAAGATACGTTAAATAAATACACACAAAGAGAGAAAATTCATGAAGAGAACAATAGACCTGATTGGCACATCCAATGCCAAAACCGTCCCACCAATAACAAGCATGGGAACATTCATAGCAGACGATAGCACCAATCTGCAGAAAGTATGGGACTAGCCGTCATTGTAGGCTTCCGTCCAAATCCTCTAGTTGGCAAAGATCATATAATTAAATATTATAGACGAAGAAGGGCAGCCGCAGTAGCACCGATCATCTGATGGTTTGACCGATGATGACTCCTCATAAACACTTGGAAAGAACTCTTTCAAGAAAACATCCATAGCTGTTATCCCACCTGTTTTCAAGAACCCTAATTTACACCAATTAAGAATACGTACCATACCAAAACAAAACAAAAGTAGAAACCAGATTAGGATTTTAATTTCATTGAAATAGATATATATATATATATATATATATATATATATATATATATATATATACACTCACTATTAATTAGATTATTTAAATCTCAAACTATACATTTAATTGTATTTTTTTTAGAATTAAAATTAATTTTTAAAAATAAAATAACAGTTATCTTTAAAAAAGTTTAAAAGATTTAATTGTTGGATAATTAATAAAGTATGATGGATTTATCTGGTAAAAAAATAAATTATTAAATAATTATTTTCCTCTAAAACGTCGAATTTGGAATAGCCATTTCCCTTTCATCAAGATATCCTTCTCTATACAGACGAGATAGCTTCAGTTATTCCTTACGCTTCGCTTAGCCGGTCCAAAAATTCTATTTCAGCTGGATCTGATGGCGTTTAATTCTCTAAAAGAAAAAAAAAGAAACATAAGAAAGGATAAATTTTGTTTAAAAAATAATAATGAGGATTGTTGCATACCTGAAACACCAAGCTCGTAACCAAAAATCAAGCCTCCTGTAGCTGCAATGAGACATGTGAAAAAGACCCTGGCAGCGAGTTTTCCAGGATAGGCACTCCGCACCGAATGCTGGAGTAATACCTTCTACAGCCATTTTTTTTATTATTATTTTAATTTGCGTGATGAGATTTGAGAAACAAATCAATAAAAGGAGAAATGAACGTAGTGAAGTGGAATAAGGATTGGTGTTTGTATTTTATTTATGTTTATTATGATTTCAATGTAACTAAAACTCTCTAATATATATGGACTATGGTTTAACCATAATTAATAACTCTACTACTAATTATTTTTGTGGATAACATCATACTTTATCTAATTTTATTTATCTGTAATTAATTAAACATCTCTGAAGCTCATTTCTATCCAATCATAAATTAATTTGTGGTTGTAGAATGGTTTTTGAAATCAATGACGATGGGATAAGATCAAATTCGTATGTTAGAATTTGATTAGGGGGTCTCTATTCTAATTTTTCGATTATCAGGTCGCGGGATGCTATTTGAACCGAATCCAGAAATAGTAATACCACAATTGGCTGGGTCCTTGATAACGGGCCTGTTAAATGGGCCACTTGTTATCCACGTAGCTTAAGTCAATCGGGCCTAACTGAAAACACTACCACTTTAAGCCCAATAAATCTTGAAGTTGGGCCAGGCTGTGCTTGTTTCGTTGCTGACGGACCGTTGTGTGTCCATTTCGGTTTTTTTTTTTTTTTCAATCAAAGAAGAACAATTCGACATTTAAAGTTAGGTAACTTGGGGAGGAGTTGACGTTTTAGGTTTGTGTTAGTCGCATTAACTCTCTTCTTGACTTTTTTTTTTAAAAAAAAAATTAATCTCTCTCTGTACTCATAAATTTTGTGGTCTTTCTCACTGAAATCCCAATTTTTCGATTGAAACTAACAAATGGCAACTCTTTCCTGTGCAAATCTATTTTTATTTCTTGTTTCCTTTTTTTTCTCTTCTTTCTTTTCTTCTTCATCGTCTCTCCTCTTCTCTTCCCCGTCGAAAATCACTGTGGCTGCCACCTTATCTTCTTCTTCCTCCTCTCTCCTCCTCAGCCACCAAAATCATCCTGTTTCTTTTCTTCCTCCCTTTCAGAGAAACGAAATAAAAATGGGTATTCGTTTAATGAGTGTACTAGTTATTCTTTCAACAGGCAAAGTGTATGTCGTATTCTCCAGACCACGACTGGATGACTCTCATACAATTGTTATTCTTCTTGCATACATTGCACCATTGGGATTAGTCCCTGCAGAGCGTTGTCTGCTCGAGTTGTATCTGGGTGTTCGATGTAGTTCAAGGCTGGTTCTTCGTTTCACGTGTCAACTCCTAAGACCTGGGGAGGGACCTTGAAGGAACACGTGCTACGGGTACATCGGTGTGGTTATAAACAAACGTACAACTCGATTAATAAAAATAAAGTTGATATAAGCAATAGTAAAAACTTAGGAAGACATTCAAATATATCATTATCTCTTTAGAGAATCGCTGTCACATGTACCGCCTATCCTTCTCTCTGTCGAAACATAAGATAAAATGCACGTCTTTTTCCTAGTCAATCGTGAATCAAGATATGTTCATATTTCATTAAACAAATCAATCTACATATTAATTGCAGTCTGCAAGTTCAGAGAATATGTTATACTCTCTTTTGCAAGAACGAAAGCTAAATGGCCACTAATTCGCCTGTCTTCTACGTGAAGGGAGAGGCAATCCCGTTTTGCAAAACTCTAGGTCTAAGGGCACAAGTATGGATCACGAGCACGAGAGGCTTACGGTTAAAACTGAACAATTGATTGATAGCCTATAGAAATGTTTGTTACATGTATATTTAACGAATTTTGAGCTGTAAAAAAAAAAAAGCTGTAAAAAAAGGAGCTAATTTGAAAACAAATTAAAAATATAAAGTTTAAAGTGTGACACACTGCACATCGAACTTGTTAGAAGATGTATAAAGTCTTTCGTTGCCCTTAACGGCCTTGCCATGCCCAAAATAATAATAATAATAATAATAAAACACTGTAACGTTATCTTTTATAATATCGAAGTAGATATTTACTTATAGTTGTTGAAATTTTAGTTGTTGGCACAGGGTCAGCTAGTGTTTCATTAAATTTGGTTTTACGGGTTTGGAAACTAATTCATAAACGAGAACTTTGAAAACTATACGCAATATAAAACACTGTCATTTTGAGAGCGTTTTTGTCTTCATCTGTGCAAATTAAGAAACTAGCGCTGTAAGCAGTATAAACGCGTGTTGATGCACTTACGCTATTGCAATGTTTTATATCTCACTCGATGAGTCGTGAGGAATTTGAACTAAGATATTCATCTGTAATCAGAAGTCCCGAGACAAATCCGAACCAATAAAGCAATCCACATTGAATAAAAAATTTCAACGCCGGTTCTAGAAGATGTACGAGAATTTGTAAAAGGACATTTCGGAAATGCTAGAAAGTCTGAACTCCCATTCTGTTTATATGAGCTTTGACGAGGCCACAACACTGCCTTCTTATCATACTAATCCACGTATTTGATATAATAATTCGAACATTTAGGATAATCATAAGAAAAATTACCGTACGTGAATTCAGAAAAAAAGAAGCAAATTTAGATAAGAAATTAATACATTACCCACAGGTTACCTTTTTTTTTTTTTTAAAAAAATACGAAGTAAAAACTGGCAATAGTTAAAACTAATACCAATATTGATATTATCAATAATTAAATTAAATAAAAAATGACATTATCATAATTAAAAAAATCTCTAAAATTGATAAATACTTGAAGTTTATTCAAATATTTTAGATTTAATTTATTCAAATGCTTTAGTGTGTGTGTGTATATATTAAACCAACAGAAACGGAAGATTTGGTTTGCGAATTTTTACTAAAAAGGAAAATCATAAAATTATTTAACATGAAAAAAAATAAAAGTAGAATTCGTCCACGTCAATATAAATCATATCCATAACATGTCATCTTTAATTAAGCCCAAAAAGTCAAAAAAACTTTCATTGTGTTGCCACGTATATACAACTCACGTGGGATGCATTCCAAATAAAAAACCATGGATCCACATGACCTGCTGCCTATCACGTGTTCGTGTGGACTGTGCTGTCTAGCCGCGCAGTTATGAAACAGAAACCAGTACCGTATTTATATACGTATCCATTTTCTTTTGCGTGTGTGTGTTTTCGACCATAAAGGATGGAATTTTTTTAAAAATAATTAAAAAATAACTAATAATATTTATTTTATAAATACACTTTGAAAAGGGTAAATAAATATAAAGTGAAGAGGAAAAAATCACATATAAGTCTATAAAATATATAACAAAATATTTTCATTAGAGTTTTTTATTTTATTAATTCTCTCTCCTCTTTTATCTCTATTTCTCTTTTATGAAGTCTGCCATGAAGTTTATCAACATCTTTATCATTTAATAGAAAAAATGAAAATGCCCCGTTGGATTAGGATTGATATATTTTAAAAAATACTATGGATCTCAAGGTTTTAAATCGAAAATTAAGGGATGTAACAAATTTTTTTAACCACCTAAACTTACTTATTCTTGGAGCTAGCTAGATTGTCTAGTGCAAGCAGAAACAGTGTCAAGAATTAGAGTCGGGACCAAACACGAGTCATTCCATTCTATGCATGTGTCTCGTGCTCAGTTCAGGATTTCAGAGAAAAATAAAAAATAAAATTAACTGCCAAAAGAAAGCGAAGGCGTTAGAGTAAAACCCGCGCCATTGACACGTGTCCCTACTAAAATAACACATAACACCACACCCAACTCTCAAAAAACCAGACGTCTGTCTCTTCAAAGATTTTGACATTACCAAAGAAGAGAAGTAAAGACACCAAATTCTCTCTCCCATGCAGACTGTAGGGATCGCGAACCTGTTGGCCCCTTTGGCCTTTTCTCCCATTTCCTGGTCAGCTTTTTTATTTATTTTTAAGAATGCTGAATAGTAGTTCTAAAAGAAAATGAAAATGAAGACTAGTAAGTAAAGTACTATATCATTTTGTGTTGTATTTTATTTGCGTGGGGATTTAATAATTGTTACACTTTTGCACATTCGAATAATTATTAAAGAATATGCTTTTATTGCCCCAACGGCTTTGCTTTATTACTGCTTCTTGACTTCCGTTTCTTATTCTGGGGGTTTTCGTGCCTTTTTTGTGCAGTTTTTGCAGCTGGCTTTGATATCTGATATCTGATTGCGGTTTTCTTGTTTCTCTCTTAAATTTGACTTGTTGGGTGTTAGACTGTTGACGGGTTGGTGGGTTTTCAATATTTTCTTAAATGTTTTTGAAGGTCCTTTTTTTATTTGCGTGTCGTGCTATTGTGCTAAACAACATTATAAATTTCATTTTTTAGCTATTGGGCTATTAAACTTGACTGATTCTTGGTTTTCTAATCTGGGTTCAATCAGAATTGAAGTTCTTAAGATACTCGAAGGTTCATAAGTTTGTCAAGTTTTGAGCTTTAGACTGATAAAGCCTCACAATATTGTGGGGTTCATCACTAAGGGTCACAAGTTATGATTGAGTGTTGCTTTGAGAATTTGTGATCTGGGTTGAATCCAAAAATATCATAAGATGTATGCTGTGGAGAGACTAGGAAGCTATATCACTCGAGGAGTTACCACAGTCTCTGGACCATTTCACCCTTTCGGCGGGGCTGTGGATATAATTGTAGTGGAACAGCCTGATGGGAGCTTCAAGTCATCTCCTTGGTATGTCCGGTTTGGTAAATTTCAAGGGGTTTTAAAGGCGAGAGAGAAAGTGGTTACTGTTACTGTGAATGGCGTTCTAGCAGATTTCCACATGTATCTTGATAGGAGAGGGGAAGCTTTTTTTCTCAGAGAGGTAGAAGGAGAGGAAGGGGAACCTGTTTTGTATCCTTCCTACTCTAGCGACGAGACAGATGGGCAATTTCAGAAAAATCGGAGGTCAATGAAGTCCAAAAGTTGCAATTACGATTCCCATCAGTTGAATTCAGGTGACCAGCTTGATGGAACCAATGGGAGTATCGTGGCTAGGACCAATTCCCGCCGTTCGAGGATATTAGGGATTGTTTTTGGACGTAAATCAGTGGACGATAGTTACCGAGAGGAAGATGATGGTGCTGTGGTAAGGATAAGTTCACTGGAGCGTGCTGAGCTTGCAGCTGACCTGTTGGAGATGAAGTGGTCTACTAATCTCGACCCCAGTAAGCCCAGGAAAGGTAACGCTTCAGATTTTTCTGCTTCAGATGTATTGGAGGGTAATGGAGACAAAGATATGCCCACTATTGACGACAAGAGCCAGGAGGGGTCATTTTTGCATGATGCCATTGAAACCAGTGCTGACCGCTGTATGTCGGCTGAGAAAACTGTTTCATGTAACGTGGAGATGGGCAACGACTCGCAATCTGACTTCATGAGCCTCGAGCGTTCCGTTGAGGAAGCTAGTGTAGAAATGTTAACTTTAGGTAGCATGGATCAAATTGCTGAAACTTCCACAATGGCTGAAAGTGTTTTGGGTGAAAAGCTTGGGGTAGTAACTGGAATATCAAGAGCCATTGATGAGCCTAATTCCCAAAATGCTGATCCTGATGATACTGCTAAGAGTTTAATCGCTGTGGTCTCCGCTCCTGAGTCAAAAATTTCAGATGTGCTTGAAGCATGCGCAGGCGAGAATTTGGGCGACCAACAGTCTTGTGACGAAAAAGATGCTTCTTTACCATATCATGCCACTTCCAAGGAGGAGAGTGGATCCAGAGCTCAATCCTTCATTTATTGTGAGACATCAGAGTGCTCAATATTGAGGCTGAATGGTTCAACTGAACAAACTCATGAAGCATTGTACCTTGCTGGTGGAGGACCCAGGGAAGTACACTGTTCTGCCGAAAACTTGCAGTTGACAGCTGAGCCACTACCTGAGGTAATCTTCTACCATATTCCATTTATCTTCTAAAGAACTTTTGGACAAATTGTGAATCTTATTGATTTTTTTTTAATAAATATTTCAAAGAAATGGGGATTTTGCAACTTAGTTAAATTATGCGTGAATTTTCTGAAGTTGAGGGAAGAGGGAACTGCTACGAGCATTAGGAAATAGCACCTGCTGCTGTAAATAATCTGAATCACACGTGAGCTGTTTGTGAGTAGTTCAAGTGACTAGCCTTAAAAGGTCAATTCAATTCATTTCATTATCTGAACAATCCAGCCGTTGTAAGTTTTGACTCGTAGGCTTGTGAGCCCAAGAGTGCCATGAAGCTTGAGCCAAGCTTGTGCTCATGCATTTCTTTGCCGAGCTCAGTCCGAACACCACAAGTGTTTTCCTTGGCTCAACTCAACCGCGTACTTGACTGGACCTTAATCTAATTTTTTTTTTTTAATTGATATTCATGCCGTAACTTCTGATTTTGTTGACACTGAGGTATTAGTAGTTTTCCATCAGGACACACTCGAGCAGCAACCTGAGGCCATTGAGTTGGAGACTGAACATGTTGATGCTAGCAACAGTTCTAATCAAACAAATCCATTTTCTTGCATGCATATCCATGATAAGGTGAACCTTGAAGTCGATACTCAAATGGTTGGGGTTGAATCTATGCTTGGTTCGGCTGAAGAAGTGGAGTCAATGAGCATTGGTACCATTTTGAGTTTTAGGAACACAGGTCAAAAAATGCAAGATGTGAAAAATATTGGCAAGGAAATTATCAGGAATGAGCTCAAACCTGCAGTGGATTCTTTTGGGGGTTCAGAGCACTTTCATGATAGTTGTGGTCCAACAAAAATAGCTATTGTTCCAGCCTTGGAGAGTTCAGAGGAAGAACAATTCATTTTCAGTGATCTTGATGAATTCAAACTCAGCAAGACTCAGTGTGAGTTGAATTTTCCTGGTGAAAAAGATGAAAAAAATTATTCCTCATTTTGTTTGGAAAGCAATGAAGAAATGAATGGGTCTTTCGATACAAGTGATGCTTCTTGTTCATCTCGGGACAAGTTTGTTCGAGAGAGTCAACTGGCTGATCTTGAAACCACGAAAGAAAATTCAAATGTAACATCAAGTCCTATTGGCATTCCCAAAGTTAATAGTTTTAAAGATGCTGAAGTGTCAAGGCTGGTAGAGTCATTACCCAACATGAGGTCTTGTATTGACAATCTGGATGCAAATGATCTCAATTTTCCTTTAAGCCATTCGCTAGACTCCATTTCCAAATCCTTGGAGCAGACATCAAGTAGTACAGATGAGTCACAGTGTGTAAAGTTAGATATGGACAATGAAATCCAATCAGCGAAGGAGCATTCTAATATTGAAGGTATTCTCAATTCAGAAGATCTTGAAAATGCAGTTTCCAGTTCTGCTTTTGGTAAGAGAACTTGGATATTCATGTTTATATCATTTCTATGTTTTTCAATTAATTGCTGGTTGGTTGGACAATGCTTTGAAATGAAAATTTATTTATTTATTTTTGAAATTTCCACAATGGAGTCTCAATTGTTATATTAAGCACATCTGATGTTAAAGAGGGAGAGAGCGAGAGAATGACATTATTACATTCTATAGCAATTCAGCAACCTCTTTAAATTCTATAACAATGACATTCTCTTCGACTCAAATAAATAAATAAATAAATAACCCCTGTTTAAATTATAGGTGTATTTCTGTTGTTCCAATAAAAAACAAATTCCAATAGAAATTTGGGTGCTTCCATTTGGTAATTACTAGAGGCATTTAAGGTTCCATATGCAGCAATCTATAGAGTTATATGCATTGTGTTTTATGCAGAGCTATTTCTTTGCAAACACTTGTTATATAAACGGGTGGGGGCTGAAGCTGCTTCTCCAGCATTTGATGCTGAAAAGCTGGCAATAGAAAAATTTACTTCTATGGGTCCTGCAGCTACGAAGGATGTTAGAGTTTGTAGTCTGTACTTTCCACGGGATGGTGCTACTCCCGTTGTTCTATTTGGTACTGAAAACATATATGAATGAAAAGGCATGATACCTGTTGACCGAGTTGAGAAATCTCTTGTAGGGGATCCATCGAAAGTGATTGTTGCTTCTGGTGGAAGCTGGAGAATTTGGCCTTTCTCTTTCAAAAGATCAAGGTCCAGGAAGACTCCGCAGCAAGCTCTAAATGATACTAGAAGTTCTGACTCAGAGAATGTGTCAGATTTCAACCTTCACACTAGTAGAGATGAGGATGTGATTAAACCTAAGGTCACCAAAAAAATGGTGAGGGCCAATACTCCAACATCTGAACAATTGGCATCCTTGAATCTGAAGGAAGGGAGGAATGTGGTGACCTTTACATTTTCCACTGCAATGCTGGGGAAGCAGCAGGTGATTCTTCATTCCATTAATACTCACATTTTTTTCTAGCTGCAGTTTCTTAGGCCTTTTAAATTTCTTTTTTCAATTTCCTTTCTACCTTTTATTTTCAAGCGGTGATTGCTTGGAGTTATGCTGCTTAACAGGTTGATGCGAGAATTTATCTATGGAAATGGAACACTCACATAGTTATCTCCGATGTTGATGGGACGATTACAAGGTAAGTTCGATAAGGTATCTTACATCTTTTGCATTTCCAAACAATAATAAGTTGAAGTTTCATGTTTAGGTTCTGATTCTCTCTTTAATGTTTATGAAATGGCAAGCATGCATACATGAACTCCAACTAATTAAGGTTTATATCTGGTGTAGTAGGAACTGGAAAGTAAATACTTTGAGATATTTACCAAATTTATATGCAAACTAATTCACATGCAATAAGTAGAATCACATGTATCCTTTAATATTATTGCAACTGAGTTCTTAACTTAGTAGTTGCAAACGTCCTCAAGACTCCTCTTCCCTTTTCTTTCCATTTCTTTGTGCAACTTTTATTCATTCTCACTAGCCTTGAAGTCAAGCTGCATTGTGAAACTGTCACACTATACTAGTGATATTTTTTGGGCACACCTGACTTGCTTTATTTTGCATTGTTATAACAGATCGGATGTTCTAGGTCAGTTCATGCCTATGGTTGGGGTAGACTGGTCACAAATGGGCGTTGCACATTTGTTTTGTGCTATTAAGGTTTGTGAAATCTCATCCTATGTGCATAGCATTCATGTATGTTAATTGGTTGAGGCAGTGTTTGATATTGCATCTCATCACTAGTTACTGTTAATATGGAAACACTGGTGGCAGGCTTCTTATAGTCTAAACTGGAGATCCATCGTTTATCCCCCAAGTTTATTTGTTTCAGCATTTTGGATTGGCATGCTGGTTCCTTATCTGGCAGTGTGAATGCGAAATTGCCCACTTTCATTGTAGCAACCAAAACTTAGCAAAATATCACGTACAAATTGGTCAATGAATAGTGACAGCATTGTTGTATCCTTATGTGGACCAAAATTGTTTTCTCATTTGTTACAGGAAAACGGCTATCAATTGCTTTTTCTAAGTGCACGTGCAATTTCTCAAGCCTATCATACTAGACAATTTCTACTCAACCTTAAACAGGTGAATTGACTGTTAACTTGCATCCTGAAATTAGAAATCAGGATCAAGAAAGTGTGACTGAAATGTCTTCTTCTTTTCTCTTTTCTTTTTTCTTTTTAACAACTCATTTTTCCCTTTAAATAAAATTTCGCTCTGATTTTCAGGATGGGAAGGCTTTACCAGATGGTCCTATTGTTATATCTCCTGATGGACTTTTTCCTTCTCTATTTCGTGAAGGTAACTGGGATCCATTTGCGTTATTTTCTTAAGAACTGGGCAAAGATGGTTTTCTTATTCGCTATGCACGCATCTTGTTTTTAATTCTGGGCCTCCATTGTTGTACTCATCCAACAATGCAACTTCATTAGTTTTATGAGCATATATTGATTTTTCTGGTGATAAATTAGTTTCTTGATTATAATGCGTGAACTAAATATCTTTTCTGCTTTCTCAGTCATCAGAAGGGCTCCTCATGAATTCAAGATTGCATGTTTGGAGGTTGGTTCCCCTCTATTCATATATTTATCTTCTTGTATTTAAATCCTCCATGCCTGTCTAACTTGCATCTGTGTTGCTCTATAAAGCATTTCATACCTAAGCTTTGTGTTTCTGACGAATTTCTTTTGGATGTTTCACAGTAAATTAAAGGAATCCAACTGTGTTTTTAATTTGACCCAAGTAATGAAGTTTTTGTTCTATGGAAAGTCTTTTGCTCTTCTTTCCAACTGTTCAAAGCAAAGAAGGCCTTAGAGATTACAGTAATGGACCCTTGTCTCAAAGTGTGAAAAGTATTTTCTTCTAGGTGGTGTATTTGTTATTTCATCTTCGTAATAACATCACAATGAGTTTTTAGCTTAAATTTTCTTACCATTTATATGAGTATCATGAAATCTGCATAGATTGTCTTTTTTCCCTTTCTCTTTTTCTTGTTTTAGTAAATATTATTGTCTTTGTGTGTGTGTGATATAGAGAGAGAGATCCTACTTAAAATTATAGTTAACTTCCTGCAAGTCCTGATAAACTTTTTGAAATCTTTACTGGTACCTTATAGGCTGAACTTAATGCTTTCTTCCATGTTGCAGGATATCAGGGCTTTGTTTCCTTCTGATTGCAATCCTTTCTATGCTGGTTTTGGAAATAGAGACACTGATGAGATGAGCTATCTCAAGGTTGGAATCCCAAAGGGAAAAATCTTCATCATTAATCCAAAGGTAATTCAAGGCCTTTGTGCTCAGAAGACAATACAGTATATGCTATTGGTGCTGTTACGAAAAAGTTTCCTTCTGATGGTTTTTACATTTGCAGGGTGAAGTTGCTGTGAACCGCCGTGTTGACACAAAATCATATACTTCGCTTCGTACTCTTGTGCATGGCATGTTTCCACCCATGACATCATTTGAACAGGTTTAGTTCTGCATTCCTTTTCTACTCAATCCTTATCATAATTCTGGAGCTATTGTGCATACCAAACTAATTAGTCAGACATTGAGCTTTTTACTAATGGGTTTTGTTCATGATTTTACTTGCGTCTGATATTTTTGCACAAAGTTGTCATTTGAGGGATGGCTAGTTTTCATAGTGTTTGTTTCTTGTGTAGCTTGATATAAATTCTTTACTTCCCAGGTTGTTATTTTCTACAATGAGCACAACTAATCTGAGTTGAATTTCAGCTTAAGCAATCTCAAATAACTCAATTTTCATCACATATGTTATGTCTACATTTCGAAGCTTAGTTATCTTCTGTGGAGTGACTAATTTTCTGTCTCATTTTTTTCTGCATTGGGAACAGGAGGATTTTAATTCCTGGAATTACTGGAGATTACCTCCTCCACTTATTGACATATGATGGTGTCAGTTGAGATTACTTTGCCCGGCCTCTGAATATTGAGATGGGTTTTGGCCATGTTCATTACGAGTGTTCAGGTAATTTACAAGAACTCCCTTTTTTGATGAATGAGAGAATTTCATTGATCAAAAGGATACCAAGAAGGAGCGTACCTTCTACAAAGCTTTACAATGAGTAAAGAAAAGAGAAAAACCATGCAAAAGTTAAGAAAGAGACCAACTATTATGCAAAGCAATATGCTTAGACCGCAGCCTAATCTTTTGGAGCAAAGTTGTGTGAAATAATTTGTTATGAACAACCTGATAAACCATCTTATAACAACAGCAGGATTAGTGCAAGTTCTACCATGGGTTCTGCTATTTCTTTCTTTCCATATTCCATAAATTGTAGCATTCTAAGCCAATCTAGCCAACACAGGAGGGAAGCACTTTTTTGGTTGATTGCATTTGGCCCAATTAAAGTCAAGTCTCCAGTCCCCCACACTTTCTATTCAAGCCACATTTCTGCAAAATTGAAGCCCAGACTTATTTTCGAGAATGAGCAATAAAAGAATAAGTGATTTCTGTCTTCATCACCATCTCCACAAAGTGAACACGTTGGGTTAATGCTTCTCCCCATCAAAACTTGCCTTACTCTGTTAGATAATCTATTATGAATAGCCACCAAGAGATAAACGAATTTCTTGGTATTGAAAGAGACCTCCAGATTAGATCGTTCCAATTCACTCTGCTGCTCTTAATTCTCGTAGTTCCCAACTGTATCTAGAAGAGAAATCTCCACTAGGACTGCATTTCCATAGATAAGTATCAGGATACGTGTGTCATATAGAGCACTTGAACATCCAACATTGCGTCTGATCTAGCTCTAGGTCCATGGGGATGCCAGTTGTTCCACTAGATGTGAATCGAATTACCATTTCCTGCAGTGAACTCCATTTGCTCCCAAGCAATATTTGTTAGCTTAATATCTCTCTTCTGCTCCAATTATAATCACTAGGCTTCAAATTCCGAAGGCTTCTGTCCTTGAGCTTATAGGCATTTACGCAGGCAACCTGTAAAGATCCTGGTTGCCATATCCAGATATATTTTAAGATATATGCATTGTTGCACTCTTGCTTTGTCAAAGTGACGGTGGACCAAGCAATTTACCACCAGGAGCTATCCCTCCTTTGTGGCTAAAGTTGTTAGTACAGTTCATCTGGAAGAATTTCAGGAAATTGAAATCTGTTGTTAAGAATTAGTCTTTTAAGGAAGAATGAAATGATTTGGAAACTGTCTTGGAGTGACCCACTTGTTTTATTCTGTTGAAAATGGAAACCCCCATTGATCCTTGCATTTCAAGCTTTGGTGCTAAACTAACTGTGAGAGGCAGCTCCTAGCTAATAAACTTGGTTTTCTGAGATTTAAAGATGCTTTGCTTTGGCTGACATTTCAGAGTCAGGCCATGTGTTTCTATATATATATATATATTTAATAATAATCTCTTTATGCTTGAAAATTACAGGTGGCCAAGACCGATCCCTAAAGCTCCCTGTGATGCTTTTGTGCTGGCTCTCCGAATTAGTGTTGGTCTGAAAGGAATTTATAGAGATTTTACCCAAAGTTGAAAGGAATCCAGTTATACCTAGCATCCTGCTTCAACAAGGGTAATTGTGTAATTTTGTATAGTTTTATTAATTTAATCCAATCAATGAACACGTTTATTGGAATCACATGGGGAGGTAGGCAAATGCCAATTCCTGGAAAAGTTAATGTAAAATCTTCAATTTTTCAATGCATAGCATCATTAATTCAGATCTGATTGCTTGCATGCCTTCTCTCTTCAACTTTTTGCATGCTTCTCTGGTGTCAAGCTCTGCTTAATGTACATGCTTTTTTATGGAATGTTTAAGCTTCGACTGATGAATGTATATCAGTTCGATTTACATTCATTCTCTATGGACACCCCAGCATAATTATTACAGAGGAGGGAGAAAATAATGAGGAGCTACTAAGCATACTACAACTGCACGATCTTTACGCCCAGGTATTTTTGAGCAAACTCCACTAGATTGTTGATTTCAGCTTCTTCTATAAAGCCATTGCCATTGGAGTCTGCAGAGCGTAACCCTCGCTTGCCCTTCCACCTTGTAAACCATCCTCCAGGTATGGCATCTTCAAGTTCTTTTCTGCTTATCTTGCCATCTTTGTCAGCATCAAATGTTCTTAACCACCGCTTGAACTCCTCAATGTTCATAACTCGTTTGCCATCCACTGAAATGCAACAAGTCTTGATCGCCATTTTATCAATGATAAGTGTTTTCTTGGGACTTCACACGCACTGTTTATTGAATGCACAAAGATCCTTGAAGGCTTGGTCCATTATATACAATCCACCGCTCACGTTTTTCATGTATAAAATCATTAGCATGATTTTTCTTATAAAAGTGCGAACGCTCCTAACTACATGCCTTTTATGCGAATGAGAATCTCGTTAAAGCCATCTTAAACGTGTTTCCGGAATAGCCTAGAGTGGAGAAAGTAGAAACTACATAAGAATCAAATATTTTTTCAACAATTAGGTTTTCTCTAGCCGGCGGCTTTAGCATTCCTTCCCTAGTAGGATCTTAGGCAGGTCATCTGTGTGAAAGATTTCGAGCGTTTACTATAAACTATTCGAACCAACACCTCAACAGTATTACTATGCTTATTTTATTTTAGCTATTACGAGTTTGTTATGAGCGCTATCTCTTAATGTTTCGCATAGCCTATAACGGTATCCTTCCATGCTAGTCTCGTACCACGGCGACCAGCACTAGCGTACTCTCTATTCTTTATATTTTTATAGGATTATTTTTTAAAAAAATTAAATAAGGGTAAAGCAAATTAATTACCAGCAATATAATGAAGCAAGAGAGCCACTTCCTAACCAAGGAATAGAAAAATAGATTTAGAATGGAATCATGAATAAAGATAGTTAAGAGCATGGCAGCTTTACAATATAATTTCGTCTCCTATGAAAGAGAGCTCAAATCACCATCGATCTCATCAGAGAACCTTTTGTTTCCTTATTTAATTTAGTTTATTTTCATCATATCAGAAACCAGCCATAAATGGAGCATCCCAAGACTAACTTTTAAAAAATATTTTTCTGCTTTTATGAATTCTACAATTCTTTTGGAATAAAAATCAAAATAATTGTCACCTCCAGAATAATTAAAAGGACATCTGAAGGTGCTATGAATAGGACCAAAAGGTTAAATGTTAGTTTATTTTTTTATTTTTTTTTCTGCTTTCATGAATTTGGTGTTTTCTCTTCAACTTGGTTAAAGAATAGTAAATGTATTTATGGCAAACAGGCCATAGTGCATGTGGAGTGGATAGAGGACATGGTTCCAAATCCCACCAGCAACTTGTTTATTTATTTTATCTCGCAAGTTCAAAGTTGGTATGTTGGCAAAATGTATTTTGTTAAAGAGAGGTGGGAGGCTTTTACTCTCAACCTTGCGATTTATTTATTTATTTATTTTTATATAGGAATCCATTTGTCGTTATAAGAAAAAAGAAAAGTATAATTTATTAGCTTTTTTTTTTTTTTTAATCAAAATTTATTAGTCTCTACTACCACGATCCTGTTTGGGTTTTCCATCCTTCAACAAAGAAGAAAAATTGCCTTTTATTATTTTAGGAATAAACGTGGCATGTGAAGATCCAAGTTGGGTTGGGTCTTTCACTTTCAGTTGAGAAGTGGTTTCCCAAATGAACGTTGCGCCTTTAAATGAGCTTATTGGGCTCCTCTGAGTTTAATATTTTTATGGGCTCAATATTTGGACTACAACCTTTTTTTGTTATTGGATAAGAGTAATGATTAAATCTCTGAATCTCATATTACAAAGCCCACCTTGAATTAATTGGCAGGCCCTATAATCTCTATGTGGGACCCATCAATTAGAAGGTTGGCGATTCTTGTAAGAACATTGATTTAATAAATTCAACATGGTTCGTACTAGTTTGATGGCGCAGGCACCATAAACTATTCAAGTTTTTAAAAGTGAAATCATGTAAAATTTTAAATAAATCAAAATTAAATTTGATAAATATTAATCTGTATAAATAAAGAATTAATTTAGTATTTCATCAAAAATACTAAATTAATATGCATATATCATTATTAAAATACTTAATCTTATTTTAAAAGCATAACGATACCATGTTTTTTTCCTCCAAATATGATTTTAATCAATTGATTCTAAAATAAATCAAATTTATAATTTCGAAAAAAAAAAGAAAAAGAAATAGCATGGGCCAAGAACGCAAGCCCATATATGCCTAGGTTTTGTAGGCTAAGCCCCCACGCTTGGCCCTCCTAATACGCGAACAACATCATTCTTCTTCTGGGTTGCAATCTCCTTTTTTCGATCATATTGGAGCTTGCCACCAACCAACTATTACATATGGACGTCAATGACAATGATTTTCTATCAATTCTTAGTAAAAGTACACTAGCCTCAAACCACCAAAAAAAAAAAAAAAAAAAAAAAAAAAGAAAAAAGAAGCAAACATGAGTAGAAAAACGGATCTCGTTTCGTTTTGTAGCAAAAAAAACTTGTGCAACAAATAATAAAATCTATTTTTTCTTTATTGATGATTTTAAATTTTATTTTTAAAAAAGTTAAAGTACAATATTTCTAACCTCTATTCTTTCCTCTATTCTTTCTTTCTGTACCGTGATATCGTTTACTTGGTTTAAAAATCATATTAGATAATAATTATATTATTTATTCAGGTTTCAAATTTTAATTTATTTATTTTTATTAAAAGCATTAATTTGATTTTCCAAAATCAAGAAAAGATTGCAAGCTTTAAATACGTCCTTTTCAACCATGATATATATATATATATATATATATATATATATATATATATATAAAACATCAAATCTTAATGAAATTCAAGTGTCCTGATTCTAGTAGAATATTTCTCATTCATGAAGAAAAATTTTGGAGTCATTATATTTCATGTACAAACTTCTTCATAAAAAAAAATTTGATATTATATTAACCTTTTAAAAATATGTTATCACAAATATTTTAAAAACCATAAATAAGTATATAATCATGCAAAAATACATAAGAAAAAGACTGTAATGTTTTATAAAAACATAAATTAATTTTGAGAATTGATTAAAAAAAAAAAAGAATCATATTAAAAACACAAAAAAATGTGATTCCTCGAGGAATAGATTTCCAGAAAAATATGTTTATGAAAGAATAAGATTTTCAAAGAAATATGTGTGTCTTTATACATGCACATGGTAAAACCACATCCTCAAAGTGGTGATAGTGAGGATCAAAACATGAAGAGAAACTTTATTGATAATATTTTTGTTACAAGATTGCCATAAGAGGCCCATTATGATACATCTTAACGTTATCAGAGTGTCGGGTGTGCTGGTGAGTTTTTTTCCCCACGCTATATTTTTTACTCTTCGGTAGAGGTTTGTATTTCCTTTTCTTTTAGAATCGGTGCCTTTTCATCTTTTATTATCACGACTATCTTTCTCTTAATGAGGAAATGCATTTTTTGATAGGTTAGCAAATTGCTTTTGATTGTAGCTATACTCCCTTTTGTGGGAAATTTCAAGGCTAAGTACTTCGTATTGGTGGCGTCGTTCATCTCATGAAGTAAGAATCTTTCAATTGATGATGTTATATGCCATGTCCATCTTGATGACCATGAAGGTCTGGTGAAAGATCACATTTCAGGAAAAGGTATCTATGGTGATCGAGATTTCTACCACTCCTTTTATTAGTACTCATTTATTTTCTATACCCACTAATAGAGTTTTAATTGGCAGAGGTATAGTTAGAGGCTTGCGAGATGGTGAGAACTTACTTCCCATACGCATTCCCATCTTTACAGGACTTGCATATGGATAATAGTCCTTTGAGGATAACATTGATCTCTGGGAGGTTGTCTTGGCAATTGCCTAGTCCTACTCCGCTTTAGTCTGGACCTGGTCCTCGGTTAAGAAATTGTTTGAAGTAACCCTTAGCGATTAGCCTTTCTATTTCTTTGTTCAATGCTAATCATCTATTTGTGTCATGTTGTTCACTCTAGGGAAAAGATAATATTTTTTCTAGCTACAAAATTGCAAAGGGCCTTTCATTGAAAGAGGATAATTCACATATCTCTCCTCTTGTATGGCAATTTACACTTCCATTTGGGTAGTTTTTAAGGTAGTATACTTGAGTTTAGGAAGACCATGCGATTATGGACTTGTCCCTTGAGATTTTTCTTTGGAAAAAGGAATTTTCTGGAGATCTCTCCCCTCTTATTTTTTTTTCCCCTTGATTTTTGAAAATGAGGGTGTGTTTGTTAAATGGTGATTTCTTTTTCGATTCGGATAGGACTTTTTGTCACCTTTTTAACCTGATAGAGGTTCACGTCGAAGAGGACATACAGTTTCCTCTATAAACCGGCATCATAAACCCCTTGCATGAGAGCTTCTGTACCCATGGGTTCTAATAGTATGTCAACTTGCAAATTTTTTTTTCGGTTGAAGCATGAGAGGGAAGCTCTGGTGTTTTTTTTTTCTTTTTTTATCTTTTTGTGTGACAGAGAACAAGTTGGTGGAGTTTTTCTCCACGAGAATGCTAGTGGAGAAATTGATGATGAATTGGAGCATAGATCCTTGAAACTGGATATAGATTCGAGATTTAGGTTATTTTACTATTTCCTAGCCATTTCCCTTAAAAATAGTGGGGAAGTTCTTACACATGATGTTTGTACCTTGAAGCACCAGCTTGAGGATGCTTCTGACATTTTGCACATGCTCTCGTAGATCAGTCTTGCCACTATGTGAATCCAGGTTCATCTTTGTGAAGAGGAAATCTCTTTGGAGCTTGGTGTTCAATATATAAAGAGCAAGTTGGGAGGCTTGAGTTCTATGACTATAGTAATCTAGCTGTGTTTAGGTTTAGGGCTCTATAAGGTTGTTTGAGACTGCAAGCTATCTTGATGGCATCATTTCGCAGTTCCTCATACTCTGGTTATCCTCTGACCTTTCTTGTTTTCTCTTTTTACCCCGCTTAGAGCCCTGGCTAACCAGCTGTTTATCATGACAATTAGGACAACTCCTCTAGAGGTTTAAAGAATAGTCGTATTTTCTTCTTTTGTCTTGCCTTTTTACTTCCTTCTAGAAATAGTGTTGTTCAAGTGTGTTTTGATGGGGAGGTGATAGAGGCTCATCTTTGTATCGTGGAGCTAAAGGAGGCACTCGACAATGCTAGCTATGGAGTG